GAGTTATTGTATTGTGGGATATATTTGCACAGTAATTGATTACATTGTATTTTCTCACACTTTAAGCAATATCACTCAATATAATAACTCCATTATGTTAGAAGGTAAAATAATTTGATGCAACGTTGAAACACTGCGTCGTAACAATAGGTTTGTAGTAATCTGTAATTAACACATTGAGTTTTTTATTGCCTACCTGCTGTAATTTAACCCATTATGTTAAAGTATCTGTGGGTCTGATTAAACGCATATTTGCACCTCAACCTTCATCTTTCCTCCCATCGGTTGTTTACACAGACAACCAATAACTTACCTACAATTGATTAACACAAATAGAAATTTCGATTTTGACTCACACACTCCCTCCCCCATGTACTTGCCTCACTCGTAATTATGAATTTTATGATTAACAATACACTACCACAACAACTGGTGTTCTGACTTTTGGATATTCTGAAGTAAATTCATAGCACTACTAGGGGAGAATCGGCCTGCTAAAGTTCTGTTGACTGGACACCATAAATTGGAGTCAAATGGAAAGGAAATAACCTGTGGTATGCAGCGTTGTAGTTACACTGTCAATGACTTCGACATCAGTAGGACAATCTACACGTGGGAATTCACTTGAACCTTTGCAAGATACGCTGCATTTATTTCGTTTGTGAGGCTCACCAATTCTCGGAAGCATATACGACATTATATTGGACTCAAGTTACTGGTACGACTTTTCCTGTTTTATAACGAACTTAGATTACAATGTAATGTTGAAAGTCGAATATGAGATGTTTAGGAGGTAGATTTCACACACAGTGATCCAGTAGAACAATTGCAGAGTATTGAGTTTGTATGAAATGAGAATCATATATAGTGTATGTTGTGAAGTGATTAATTGATTGATGTAAATATCAATCGTACTGCAGGTTTAAATCCTCAGTTAAAAGCAATTTGAGTTTATGTAGTCCAAGAATAATATGGTTCGCAGGTAAAAGTTCACAATTAATAGGATTGTGATTGACTTATTTAACATTCACAAGATAATTTAGCCCTAAATCAGTTCAAAAAAAGACAAGCTTTTATAGATATGAAGCCGCTACAGAAGTGAGCAAATGAAAGGCATAAATGGTTCAAGGCATCCAAAATAGTACTGCTTGCATTCAACATCAATGACTCATTAACATTATATATGCATCATAGAGCACCTGTATGACTTGACAATCAAGAAATATGATCAATACACTCGATTATTCATTGAAAATGACTGTCGACAGATAGATATAAGTAACTAGTCAACAAATGAGGTATTGCTTTCGAATGACCATTTTTATCTAACAGACGATTTCAGTACATACACTCTTATAGTAAATAACTCACAACCTGATCGTTTCAAATGGTGACACAATCATGACCGCGAATCTCAAGCAAACCTCCTGAAAACTAACAGCTACAATATAGCATTTACCAAACATCGACAACAATAGGGACCAATGTTGTAGAGGTGTCATAAGGAAACTTTTTGATTACTACTCATGTTCCGCTTGACGGTGATCTGGTGATTAATTTTTGGAGTACAATGGAGCACTTACTATTTAACATCACATACAGATGATATATCAGTCGAAGACATATCAAACATCAAATACCACCGTTACTTGTAGTTTAGGAGCCCTACCGATTGTAAGATCATACAATTATCTCATCTCTCAAACATCTGAGTACTAACCCCGACTGCTAACTTCATATGTTCAAATAATGATCTGCTTTCTCCATTGTTATACTCCAGTGCTTTCAATTAGCTTGCTAATACAGATGTAACAGGAAGCTAACACTTGAAATTAGGATTCTGTCGACGATACATAATAACTAATTATTGTAGTGTAATATTCCCACTAAAGCAAATACAATTACTAGTATCATTCACCAGTCAAAATAATATTTCACAGCTGTAATATAAATAATCTTATCAAAAAAGCTTTGTACTATCTGATGAAGAACTGTTAGAGACTTATTAATGCTATTTCAGTGTGACTTACTAAATCATTTTTATGTTAAATTATTAATGGCTATGCTAATTCATTTTACTCTTAAATAGACTTCATGTCATTTTTACACATGTTAATAATAAGTCGACAATTGTAATTCTTTATTTACTGGTTCTCTGACATTTCCTCATTTTCATTTATCCTCCAACGGGTCAATATCCGGTAAAAATTTTATTAATGGCTTGATGACTAACTCCAGCACGCTATATTGCCTCCACTTAGTATGAAACATTATTTCCCAGCAGATTTACAGCAACTACAAATTTCAGTACTGCATTTTCATTCTCGTGATAAATTTTGCAAGAATTAGACCAATTTATTTCACCGCTTCATGAAAGATGTCGTAAAGTCACTGAGTTTATCTATCTTCGTCCCTCATATGAAATTTCACGAAGTTAGGCAGAATATACATGCCTTTATAACATTCTACTATAATAAATGCTATTTTTTCAAAATAATAAATTCGTTTTCAAGAAGTTCATTATCACAGTAATCTATTATATTCAAATCGTTTTACCAATTTTTGTTCTTATATATTGTTGACACCATTATTGTAAGAACTACTAGTACAAATGCGAATTCCGTAACTCTAGAGAAAAAGAAACAAGAGCATTTCAGATTATCTAGAAAGTTTTCGAGCGTAGTTTTAGAATACAATCGATCACCAACTGTCTTGTCTGAATAAATTGTAACATCTAGTCACACCGTAGCTAGAAAATCGTAGTTAATAGCCATTAAATCCGCTAAAATGTTATGGATATTATCTTCCAAGTCATGCACCATTAAAAGGTTCGGAATCTGGATGTATAGAATGCATTATCCACAAAAAAGCAGACGATTTTTGAAGTAGCAGAAGAGTCCAGGAAATTTCATAGAGCAATGAAAAGCACAACTCTAAATCTGAGGAGTGCAAAAATAACTAGATAGACATCCAAAAGTCATTAATAGCTGCTTCCCTAGTTCGTATAATCATTGAGGAATGGATTTCCGATACAACCGACGAATTCAGATAGATTTCTCTCTGCGATATTCTATGCTAAGACGGTAATAACACTGGGCTGGATAACCGAGTTTACACTACTGCAGGATAAAATACTCGAACGACCCTCCATACACATGTAGATCACATTATATCAGATACAAGATTCATGATCACGAATAGAAAACTGGAGTACAAATTATACAATACTTTGTGCCTTACAATTACAAGCAGTCACTCTCAGTGGGTCTGGAGCAGAAATCAATAAAAGGAAAGGAAACCACACATTTAATAGTCCTTAAGTTGTGTGTCTTTTTGTCCAAACTCAGTGACCAACCACACTTTCACTAACGCACATCAATCTCATAAATAACTCGTAAACAGAGCAAACTAATGAATCTTATAGAGACGGGATAAAGAAGATAGTCGAAGTGCAACAAAAGGTTCTGGTGAAGAAATGATACTTGTAAACCACTGGAAAACGAATATGTGTATTTTTTTCAGAATTGATGCAAACTTCCTGAAGTTTAACTGTATCAAGAAAATAGCCAAAGAATCTTCTGGAAGAAAAGTAACCATCAGTATGGGGGTTGTGGAGATTGTTAAGCTTTTGGTTGAGATCATGAATCAATTGATGTTAGACCACCGTTGGAAACCTGGAAGCACTGGACGGCCGTTTCGTCCTAGTATGGGACTCCTCAGCAGTGCGCATCCACGATCCCGCACTGCTGAGGAGTCCCATACTAGGACGAAACGGCCGTCCAGTGCTTCCAGGTTTCCAACGGTGGTCTAACATCAATTGATTCATGATCTCAACCAAGAAAAGTAACTCTTTGCCAAAACTTTAAGAAATCAATATCAAATTCATTTATTAATGGTAAAAAACATTTTCATTTATGTGGATGGCAGATCCAAAAGAATAAATCCCAAGTATAGCATATGCTCTAAAAAGAGCTGTAAATGAAAAAAACCTAAATTGAATCAAGCAAATTTTCTACTTAAATCCCAATTTCGTCATGCAATCGATAAATCTCGTACTTGATCCTACGAATAAAGTTGGACTTTATACAGGGACTTCTGAAAACATTTTTTAACCTCTATTTGTCATTTAGGAATTGATCACAATGGTTTAGGTGTATACATGCTCTGTCTTCCTTTAAACTTTCTTTCTATGAACTAATTCTTTCTTCCTGTATTATTATATCCTTATACACAATCTTTATTTTAAACATCACTCCCATTGAAGTGACTACTTCTATGAATTTGGTGTACATCTTGTTTTGCTAATAAGGTGTGGCAACTTGGACCGATGTATATATGTGCCTGGTCCTACGTTGTAGCTGATTGACTGATTTAAGGATGAGATCTGGATATTCTTCGAGAATAAAAAGAAAAACTCATGCGAACCATTGACATGATACAGCACATGATATGTTATTCATAAATTAATTATTTTGCCTTTAATTTCATTACCATATTTATATATTACTTATGCACTACAATTTACAATCTTTATGATTTTTTTTTACCATTTTTAACCATTAACACATTCAGTTGGTATTGTTTGGCTTGTATCTTCCCATTGAGGTTTAAGACTGCAACTGATCAGTCTGTTATTGGCATATGTGCATACTGTGCGTATGCCTCGATATTGCCTTAATTCACAGGCTTTTTGTAAGCATTGATGGATAGTGGCTAGCAGTGGAATCCAGTTTGACGTGCGTTTCGTCCTATTTGGGACTCGTCAGCTGGATGTACCTGAATCTCAGAATTGGTGTTCACCGTGGGACTCGAACACATTTCTACTGTTTTAACAAATGAATACATGTAAGAATGATCATAAAAATAAAATTTCACTTTGGAAAACAAAAAAGAATCAACGTAAACATGATTATGGCAACATGTATCTAAAAATACAATTTGTAAAACTATTTACAAAATTTAATTTAATTAAAAACAAACAAACAAACAATCTACCAATTTTAAAGTAACTGAGATGGACATGATTGAGAATTATAAGTATGAATAAGTTCAAATAAATCTTCTTCTGTACATGTAGATTTACGAATTAATTGTTGACGTATAATTAAAGCTAAAAGTGTATTTAATTCTAATAGTATTGCATCATTATATACCCATTCACTTGATCCAACCTTTCAATGAAATAAAAAATTATTCATTAATTACTGGGGTTTTTTTCAACTCTCATTAAGAGAATATTTAATAAGAGTTATTGAAAACATTGTGAACTTTGTAAGTATCATTACCAAGGTCTGATTCGATCATTTCGAATAAATTGAGCATTGGGTAGATTGTTATATATAAATAAATAAATAAATTATTTGTAATATTAAAACGAGTAGAAAATTAGATTTTCTGACGTTTCGTGACTTAGTGTAGATCACTTCTTCAGAGAATAAATAAATAACCAAATCAAAATTAATCCAAGTTTAAACAGTACGACGTAACAATAAGAAAATCAAATTTTCTACTCGTTGGGATATTACGAATATATTATACATTGAGAACTTTGTTAAAATTGAGTAAACACAATCTTTAAACAAAACAATCATCAACTACACACTTCGAAATATTAGTACTGAAACATGAAGTTTAAGTCAAATTTTCATATACTTATCAGCAATTGATATGGAAAAAAACTAATTGAGATCTTATTGAAATCAATTGATTGATTAAAACATATCAATAAATAACAAACAAGATTGTGAAATGACTTGATCGATAAACAAAATACTGATTACTCGAATTTCGACAAACAGTATTAAGCTCAACACACTCATGGAAATAAATATACTTGGAGTAGTCTAGATCATAAGAAAATCATGGAGAATCCTAGGTGGTGAGGTACATACTATCTAGCAAACTTTAGTTCTTAATTGTTTCTTCCTTTTTATGAGAATGAAGCAGTAAAGCAACCAGACATATAAAGTTAAAAAACACTACTTCCAAAATATTATATGAACTCTCAAAGTCCATGACCGCACTCACCATATATAAAGGCAATGGCATATTGTTAAATTTTTTCAGATTAATAACATAGTTACACAATTAACAGGAGCTTCCAGCTCATCGACAACACGCATAGAACGAAAAACTCCATATTGCTTTAACCACCTCGACAGATAAATCCGCCTGCGGAACATCCAAAGCTACTGACGGTCCCAAGCCCGGGTAAAGGATACAAAAATAAGCTGATAATATTATCACTATCAACTCCGCCTGTAGCTGTTCTAGAGTTACTGCCGGTCCCAAGCCCGGGTAAAGGAGGAGGGTTGGGCATGGGGTTAGCTACCCCATCCCGTAGAAAACTAACTCGCTAAAAAACGCTAACCAGAAAAATTAATTCAAACCATTTAAACTCTGTCCTGGGGGTTAGAAGGTCTTCGTTTAGAAGAATTATGACGCTTCATGGTGAAAGTCGAGTTCTTTCGGAAGCCACGAGGCCGATATCCCTTCTAACAACCAGAGCAACAATTTTTGTAGGTACATGGAACGTCCGAACAATGTGGGAGACCGGGAAGACCAGTCAAATAGCAACGGAAATGAGGAGATACAATTTGGCAGTACTGGGAATCAGCGAAACCCATTGAACCGAAGCTGGACAACAAAGGCTAAATACGGGAGAGATGCTGCTATACTCCAGCCACGAAGATGAAAATGCTCCACACACTCAGGGAGTTGCTCTAATGCTGTCCAAAGTAGCACGAAATGCACTTGTAGAATGGGAATCTCACGGATCCAAAATCATCAAAGCATCATTCAAAACAAAGAAGGAGGGGATCACAATGAATATTATCCAATGTTATGCACTCACCAATGATAGCAACGACGACATTAAAGATCAATTCTACGAGCGGCTGCAGTCAATCATAGAGAAGTGCCCAAGAAAGAATCTCACCATTCTGATGGGAGATCTAAATGCCAAAGTCGGAATAGACAACACCGGATATGAAGATATCATGAGACGACATGGACTGGGAGAGAGAAACGAAAATGGAGAAAGATTTGCAAATCTGTGTGCATTCAACAAATTGGTCATAGGAGGCACAATATTCCCACACAAGCGTATACACAAAACTACATGGATCTCACCGGACCACAACACTACAGAGAACCAGATAGATCATATTTACATCAATAAAAAGTTCCGAAGGACAATGGAAGATGTGAGAAGCAGGAGAGGAGCTGACATAGCTTCAGATTACCGCCTAGTTGTAGCCAATTTAAAACTGAAGCTAAAAAAGAATTGGACAACTGGACAAATAACAGTCTTCCTTCGAGATACTGACAAACCCAATGAATTCAAGATAGCTCTCAACAACAGGTTCCAAACCTTACAGGATCTACTAAAGGAAGAAGAAACTACTATGGAGGATAACTGGAAAAGTATCAAAGAAGCACTAACTTCAACGTGTCAGGAGGTTATGGGTCTAAAGAAGCATCATCATAAGGACTGGATCTCTATAGAAACACTGGACATGATCAAAGAAAGGAAGAACAAGAAGACAGCAATTAACAACAGCTGAACACGAGCAGAGAAAACCTAAGCACAAACTGAATACGTAGAAGCAAACTGTTATGGATGCAGAGGAATATACCAATCATTATCATGATTAAATCTAATGATGTCCTTGGACTTTAAATGGACATTTCCTATTGGCCATCATTTATTTCACTCGTTAAATATTGTACAGATGTTGTTTTCTATTTTTATGGTACGATGTGGTCTGTTTGGTTGGTATATAAACAGAGTATGTTTGAAACATAACGATTCATATCTCAGAGGCTGTGACTTGTGTTCTGGACTCAACTGGCTGGGCTAGACAGGGAAGCGGGACCAATCAAAACTCTGGGTCGTTCTACACTGCTCTCTAGTCTTTTCAGTCAAGGACGCAACAATTGGCACGGGGTAAAAATCGACCCAAGTTTAAAGTCACAACACAAACAAGTAAGCGAGAAAAAGCATTAGAGCCGGCAAGAAGAAATACATGGAAGAACTAGCAACGACGGCGGAAGAAGCTGCAAGGGAAGGGAATATGAAACAAATTTACGATACAACGAAGAAACTAGCAAGGAAATACAATAAACCAGAGAGACCGGTCAGAGACAAAGAAAGCAGGCCAACCACTGAAATTCAACAACAGCGGAACAGATGGGCAGAATACTCCGAGGAACTCCTGAATAAGCCAGCTCCAGTAAATCAACCGAACATCGAAGCAGCACACACAGATCTTCTTAGAGATGCCAATCCACCAACGTCGGAAGAAATCAGAATGGCCATCAGACAAATCAAGAGCGGGAATGCAGCAGGACCCGACAACATACCAGCTGAAGCACTGAAGTCAGACATCGGAGTAACTACAAACATGTTTCGCCTTCTACTCAAAAAGATCTGAGAGTAGGAACAAGTGCCGACGGACTGGGAAGAAGGACACCTCATCAAGATTCCAAATAAAGGAGATCTGAGCAAATGTGAAAACTACAGAGGCATTACACTACTGCCAATGCTAGGGAAAGTCTTTAACAGAGTGTTGCTGAACCGGATGAAAGACTCAGTAGACGCCCGATTTCGAGATCAACAAGCTGGATTCCGTAAGGATCGGTCGTGCACAGACCGAATTGCGACACTATAGCGACTCACGTGCAAATGGGTTTATTCTCATTTAACTCAGTTAAGCCCTTTTGCTAACTTATTTAGCGAACAAAGTCATCCGCACTATTACAATTTATTGTACCCTTATTATTTTGCGCTTGTATGAAATATGTATGCTTGAATATTGCTTACTGATTACGTATTTATTCACTCTGCTAGTCTTACTACTAACCGATTATTCGATTCGATTACTCATTCATTTCACATGGTATATATATGTCCATGTTATTCATACTCAACACTCACTCACACGCTCTCGTATCGCTCTTGCACTCGCTCGCTTGCCTTTCGGCACAACTCTTCTATGCTTGTTTAACGCATCTGTACATTTGGATATATGTATGTGGTCTCGCAATAAACGTAATCAACACTTCGTATTTGCCTTCTAATTAATATACCGTTGGGGCGTTATATAGAACGGTTATCAAGACGAACTGTATACGAAGTTAAGGATTATATCAGATACCGACCACCACAACACTACGGATCATTGTCGAACAATCAGTTGAGTGAAACTCGTAACTATACATCAACTTCATTGATTATGAAAAGGCATTTGACAGTGCGGATAGGAGAACGTTATGGAAATTTCTTTTCCCTCAGGTGTCGAGGTCTTCATAATTCAGTCGACCACGAGAAGAAAGAGGAAGACAGAGAGTGGACAGCCTTATCTGACTCCGGTCCTTACTTGGAATGCATCTGACAGCTGTCCTTTATGCACGACCTTGCACTGTAGTCCATCATATGAGTTTCGGATAATATTGACAATCTTCTCAGGAATTTTACCCATCTGTTCCGCTGTTGCTGAATTTCAGTGGTTGGCCTGCTTTCTTTGTCTCTGACCGGTCTCTCTGGTTTATTGTATTTCCTTGCTAGTTTCTTCGTTGTATCGTAAAGTTGTTTCATATTCCCTTCCCTTGCAGCTTCTTCCGCCGTCGTTGCTAGTTCTTCCATGTATTTCTTCTTGCCGGCTCTAATGCTTTTTCTCGCTTACTTGTTTGTGTTGTGACTTTAAACTTGGGTCGATTTTTACCCCGTGCCAATTGTTGCGTCCTTGACTGAAAAGACTAGAGAGCAGTGTAGAACGACCCAGAGTTCTGATTGGTCCCGCTTCCCTGTCTAGCCCAGCCAGTTGAGTCCAGAACACAAGTCACAGCCTCTGAGATATGAATCGTTATGTTTCAAACATACTCTGTTTATATACCAACCAAACAGACCACATCGTACCATAAAAATAGAAAACAACATCTGTACAATATTTAACGAGTGAAATAAATGATGGCCAATAGGAAATGTCCATTTAAAGTCCAAGGACATCATTAGATTTAATCATGATAATGATTGGTATATTCCTCTGCATCCATAACAGTTTGCTTCTACGTATTCAGTTTGTGCTTAGGTTTTCTCTGCTCGTGTTCAGCTGTTGTTAATTGCTGTCTTCTTGTTCTTCCTTTCTTTGATCATGTCCAGTGTTTCTATAGAGATCCAGTCCTTATGATGATGCTTCTTTAGACCCATAACCTCCTGACACGTTGAAGTTAGTGCTTCTTTGATACTTTTCCAGTTATCCTCCATAGTAGTTTCTTCTTCCTTTAGTAGATCCTGTAAGGTTTGGAACCTGTTGTTGAGAGCTATCTTGAATTCATTGGGTTTGTCAGTATCTCGAAGGAAGACTGTTATTTGTCCAGTTGTCCAATTCTTTTTTAGCTTCAGTTTTAAATTGGCTACAACTAGGCGGTAATCTGAAGCTATGTCAGCTCCTCTCCTGCTTCTCACATCTTCCATTGTCCTTCGGAACTTTTTATTGATGTAAATATGATCTATCTGGTTCTCTGTAGTGTTGTGGTCCGGTGAGATCCATGTAGTTTTGTGTATACGCTTGTGTGGGAATATTGTGCCTCCTATGACCAATTTGTTGAATGCACACAGATTTGCAAATCTTTCTCCATTTTCGTTTCTCTCTCCCAGTCCATGTCGTCTCATGATATCTTCATATCCGGTGTTGTCTATTCCGACTTTGGCATTTAGATCTCCCATCAGAATGGTGAGATTCTTTCTTGGGCACTTCTCTATGATTGACTGCAGCCGCTCGTAGAATTGATCTTTAATGTCGTCGTTGCTATCATTGGTGAGTGCATAACATTGGATAATATTCATTGTGATCCCCTCCTTCTTTGTTTTGAATGATGCTTTGATGATTTTGGATCCGTGAGATTCCCATTCTACAAGTGCATTTCGTGCTACTTTGGACAGCATTAGAGCAACTCCCTGAGTGTGTGGAGCATTTTCATCTTCGTGGCTGGAGTATAGCAGCATCTCTCCCGTATTTAGCCTTTGTTGTCCAGCTTCGGTTCAATGGGTTTCGCTGATTCCCAGTACTGCCAAATTGTATCTCCTCATTTCCGTTGCTATTTGACTGGTCTTCCCGGTCTCCCACATTGTTCGGACGTTCCATGTACCTACAAAAATTGTTGCTCTGGTTGTTAGAAGGGATATCGGCCTCGTGGCTTCCGAAAGAACTCGGCTTTCACCATGAAGCGTCATAATTCTTCTAAACGAAGACCTTCTAACTCCCAGGACAGAGTTTAAATGGTTTGAATTAATTTTTCTGGTTAGCGTTTTTTAGCGAGTTAGTTTTCTACGGGATGGGGTAGCTAACCCCATGCCCAACCCTCCTCCTTTACCCGGGCTTGGGACCGGCAGTAACTCTAGAACAGCTACAGGCGGAGTTGATAGTGATAATATTATCAGCTTATTTTTGTATTCAAATAAAAAGTTAAGTCACATTAACAGTATATAGACATTGTGAGATTATGATAGCTGGACGGTTTGGATATTAAAATAGTAAATTTCCTACCGATTATTGTTTATTATCCTATTCTATTAAACATTAATATAAACTTAAAAAAGTGAACTATTATTGATATTACTCACTTTGTCGAATAATACTTCAGGTAAATGTTTAACAATATCAAATGCTAATTGTTGTAATTTTTTAAAAACATTAAATCTAGCCGGGAACCATCTTTCATTTAAATAACAATTCACTTTGTCCTCAGATACGAATAGTGTTAAAAATCGTAATCGGAAGTTGTGTACTTCATCAGTCTTAAAAAAACAATATAGAAGAAATTCATCATGATAGTGATATGAATGAGAATAAGTAGTGACTTAAAAGTGACTAATTAGAATTCAATTATTGTAAATTATTGAGACATTGATTATAATAGTAATAATAGCAAAATGAAATAAATATATGATTCAAAGTAATTAAAAATACACAATAATTAGTAATTATTGTGGAATGATGAAATGATTTTGCATTTATAATCGATGAAATTCGACAAATATACAAAACTGATTGTTGGATAATGACATGGCTCAAAATCATTTGCAATGGCGCAGGTGCATCCACTCTTTGTGTTCTCCCAAATTCTAATCTTCTGAATTCTTCATGTCCCGTTTTTTTCCTCTTCCCAAATTTATTTCACTGGATTATACACTTTAAATAACATCTCCAAACCCTAATCTTCCTGATTACTGCTTATACTCTTACTACCTCTACCACTACGGGATTTGAATCGACAACTGCATCTCTGTGCTAATTTGGTATGGAAACTCGAACTGATGTACTTACGTACGAAGTCCTACGTTGTTACTGACTGACTGTATAATGTATTCTTAATGAATGAATTAGTTGACTATGTGACTATGATTTCCTGAGGATTCATTGAGGTTCATCATTCAAATTTAACCATGAAACATTGAACGTATGTGTGAATGTAAAGAAGATAAAGCTGATACACAATTCAATAACTTGAAGTAATTTGAATACAAGACAGTAAGATCGTTAATAAGATTTTAGATAAAAGTTTACATCGGAACTAGCAAATAAATAAATTCCTTGTGTGAACTTTCTTGTTCTAGTGTACAAACTTTACTTAAATGTATCAAAAATATCCATAAGTCTTCCTACTACCGCCCGCAAATGCTCTGGTATGGCCGAGAGTGGGGAGAATCAGCTCTCCCTCTCAAAATGCTCTCATATGACCACGCGTATATAGCCTCTGCGTGGAATTCCTACTCACTGCCTTCTTGCACGATGGGTATTGTTTACGAAATTGACAGGACGAAAACCGAATGTCCGGTGCTTTAATAGGGTTGGTGGACATGGAGAGTCCACCTAGGGGAGTTGGAAAACCCTGATTCCAAACCAATGATGCACATGGGCTGGCTCCAGGATCCTGAAGGGACAAACGGCATATGAACCAATCGTTGGTCACAGGCTACCATGGGACTGCATCTCCTCACGATGCTCCACTGCCTTATGGATCAGTCCTTTAGGTCGAAGGTTCCAGGTGTGGCTCCTCAAGAAAACCAACTCCTTCGGTCTGGGCAGCCGGGCAGTATCATAGCCCTAACACAAATCAAATGAGGTGCATATGTATCTGGTGCCCCCTTGTACCAATATCTATGTGTTCAAATAAATAATAAACTCCCTATTACCGAATTGTAATTATAACTGTCCAGTAGCACCGGACTTCAAGTTATCAATAGTAAGGCTGTCTTTTCATCTAATCAATATCTTTTTAGAAACTATGTTAACAGTTTTATGTATTTGAATATAAAAATTATTCTACGTTATAATGAATTCATTTTTCTACTTTCTAATATTTATCCTTGTTTTACTTAAATTTATGACCAGAATAAATTGCATGAGCTTGTTAAAATAGATAAGTATCTTTAACAATGAACTTGGCTGTAATTTTATCCATATAAATCACTGAAAACATTAAATTTTGATAAAACTATGTTATGAGACATAATAATTGGTTGCATGAGACCAGCAGGTATTTTAGTTTTAAGAAATGATTTTCATATTAAAGCAATTGGTGGTGTAAAACACTCCGTTCGGTATAATTCTGATTAACACATAAAACAGGTCTGCTGGTTGTTTTTCGCCTGCTTCAATATAAATATTTAAGGCCCCTTTTAAGTGCTTCATGATGTTATTTACAGACTACTTTTCAGTCAGTCAGTTAGTGATCTTGAGTGCCGTTAGAGGTATGAGGGTGGTTATCGTTTCCCGATTGCCCACACTGTGGAAGAGTCTTACTAGAGGTACCTGAAAAGGAAATTGGGTTAGAGTTGGTCTTAGTGACCTGAGAGCGTGACCGCAGTGTCCAAGGAACAACGACTTGACGTCGGTCACTCATGATCTTTATGTGAGTAATTTCCGTGTTAGCTCCGTACTTCTTGAGACCTTACCTTCGGAGACGGATATCCGTGGGATAAGGCGAGGTGTGCATTTTTAGGGTCTGCCTTTTCTAACCCCAGCCCTCCTTGTGGGAAAGCAGTATCGTTGTTAGGTTGGTTGTCTGACTCAATGGTAGTGTGGTGCGTGCTACTTATATTGATATGAGTAGTATATTCTGCGAGTCAGGAATGTAATGTCTGGCAGCAGAAGATGAGGGAAGATCAAGAAAGCAGGAGCGGGAATAGAATGCAATTTGTATGAAAATGTAAGCACAATGAATTCTGAGGCATTTTGAGACAACTGGTGGACATTTTGCAAATTAATGATTTAATATATGGTTCTCAGATTTTATTGAAATGCTCTATAATTTTGTGTTAAATACATTCGATTGTCCCCACCCGTGTTCTTGGTCACTACAGTAGTACCGACTTGTCTTAGACGAAAAACATTTCAACTTCGGTTGAAATAGAGAATTTACAATTTATAATTCTCGATTATAGATTTATTGGAAATAGGTTAGACAACCGCTATCAAACTAGCATGTCTTACATCAAATATGAGTCTACTGTAGCCCGATGATGTTTTAAAATCTACTACGAGGTTGACTAAATCCTATCCATTTTAAAGAAATATCATTCAGCTAAGATCCTAGAACTAGCTTTATTAATAAGCAACATAAAAATCTCACCCTACCTTCTAAATCTGAGTAAACTCCCCTGGAAGACATTTTCATTTTCATTTTTAACTAAACGGGTGTGTTTTCAGGATATTAAGCTATAACCACTTATTTTGACACTTTCAGGATGAGCTAGTTGTGATATTTGGCTACCTGAATCCAATTGAATGAAACACAATTTCCTCATGAAATCAGTGACTGAAAGTTAAATATTTCAGCTGTTAAGCCTTGTCAACTCGGGATGGCTACATCTTATATCTGAACATTTGGGTAGCTCGCTAGAACTATAGATGACGCAATTTCTCAAATGTGTAAGGAGCTTTAATTACCCTCCACAATAATAGTATTAGAAGTAAAACATCCCAGGGAACACTACTCACTGACCTCAAACTAACTAACTAAGCAGATAACAAGAAACATTGAAAATTACGAATATTTACCAGATCTTGGCACAGTTTTTTGATATTGTAAACTAATTTTATCAAAAATGTAACGAAAAAGTTATCTAAAACAAAGCTAATGACTGTAATAGCTTATCAGAATGGGTTTTATGGAGATTTTAGAAATTTCACAGATTGAAATCATGAGTCAGTTGAAGCTAGACCACCATTGAAAACCTGGAAGCACTGGACGGCCGTTTTATCCTAGTATGGGACTCCTCAGCAGTGCGCATCTACGATCCACGATTGGTTGAAGTTAGACATTAACACCGTTGTATGCCGGCTCAGTGGTCTAGTGGTTAAGTGCTCGCGCGCGAAGACAGCAGGTCCTGGGTTTGAGCCCCGCGTGGTGCGGGATCGTGGATGCGCACTGCTGGAGTCCCATACTAGGATAAAACGGCCGTCCAGTGCTTCCAGGTTTTCAATGGTGGTCTAGCTTCAACTGACTCATGATTTCAATCTGTGTAATAGCTTAGCCAGTATCAAAGGAAGAGAAAAGTAGAAACTATTAGGCATGTGTTTATAATGCAACTGTATACGTTAGTCATCAAGAACATTTTCCTCTTTCAACTAGAAAACATAACCCAATGACTAAATGAACAGATATTCATAGGATATTGACATAAAATAGCTAACTTACTAGATCTGATTGAGAATAGTGTTGATTTAATTTGGAAAAACACAGAGTATAATTACTTGTTGGTGCAGATGATTCCAAGTATAGATGCATAATCTAAATTACAGAATGATAAAATAATTTTTTTGTGTATGAGGAGTGATAGTGATTAATTAATCAACCTAAGAGAATAACGCTTTAGAGGAACAGAAATTCTGTACCAAATTGATTTATTTTTTTTGCAAACTTACAGAAACAAGAGGTAGTCTAAATTTTACTTGAACTCAAATATTTTTTTCATTGACTACACAGAAAATTCAGACTACAAAACCGTAATATAACGGTTAGATAGTTGTAAGAGTATTTCAAAGATGATGTAGAAAAGAAAAACGTAACAGACAGATAACAATGAACTTTGTCCTGAGTATCTCATAGGTTTAATTGTTAAAATGTTCTGAATATAATAACGAAAAACTACATAGTTCTAAACTAGTCTCAACTACTTTGAAACATTAAGATAAGTAGGATTTACTTAAAATTCATTCGCTGAGATTTTACAAATATATTCTTCTTTTTAATGTCTCATTAAGATAAGTAGTTTTAATTAGATAATAATGATTTATGCAATGTGGGTTTGTTCTACTAGCTCAAAAATGATTTAATTTGTGATATACTTGAACGAATTGAGCTGATATTATGAACGTCGAAAGTTGGTTAGTAAACCATCAATTAGATGAATAACTTACTAGATAATGATAAACGAGAGATGAACTAAAGAATTTGGAACAGACAAGTATTGTGATTAATTACCTTAATGATACAAATGAAGACATGAGTTCAACTATTTTGATTCAGGTGAAATGAGTAGTCAAATAATTTTAAATGTATTGTGATCGTTTATTTAATCAAGAATAAATACTGGTACAATGAAACGACAAAATAAATGTGCCCAAAAGAATGGTATTATGAACAAAAAGGAAGATGAATATAACAGAAAAATAACAGTAAATGAATTATAGTATAGCACCTCGCCTACACTTGAATTTATATGCGTTTAATTTTGTTAAACTCCTCAATTAACTTATTTAACAGTATGATCGGAATGGCAAGGACGTGTCTATATTCTCATATTATTATTACCATGTTTGTATGAGCGTGCATACTTGATTACATGTTCAGTCAGTCAGTCAACTACATCGTAGGACCAGGCACATATATGCATCGGTCCAAGTTGCCATACCTCATTAGCACAACAACCGGATTCATAGTAGTTACTTTAATGGTAGTAATATATAAAAGAAAGATTACATATAATGACATAGTACAGGAAGAAAGAATTAGTTCGTAGAATGAAGCGATTTTAATCTCATAGTTTAAAGGAAGGCAAAGAATGTATACGCCTACGCCACTGTGATCAATTCTGAGTCATGTCACCAAGAGTATTCAACCATTGATTACGATAGTTATGCGGATTCCAACCAAGTAGTCTGCATCTACCAACATGGCTCAGACTAGAAGTTAGTGACTTTATGGATTGATGCCAACTCTTGATTTGCCGCCTCTAAATTTCTTCTAGTCATCTCCAACACTAAGACATCAGTGATCAAATACTAGGAACTTACGAGTATCTTCTACTCTTAATGGCCGTGTTTCGTAGCCTAAAGTAGAACAGAACGAGCTGCTGCGCAGTATACTCGTCCCTTAATTGATAGACGGATATCTCGCCTTCGCCATAGGTGACGTAAGTTGGCAGAAGCCAAACGAGATTTTCGAATCCGTGCAGAGACTTCTTCAGACACCAACCCATTAGGGCTGGTCAGACTTCCAAGATAAGTGAAGTTGTCAACGCGTTCGACTACTTCACTCCCTATCCTCAGTTCAGATGATGATGCAACAATTTGCATTTAGAGGGAAAGAAACGCATTCCAAACATCCTGGCAATGTCGCTCAGTGCTATCAAAAGACTTCATTTTATCAGTGTTTTCACCAAACAGGACTATGTCATCTGTGTATTCTAAGTCGACAAATGAACCTCCTGGAAAGAGATCAAATCCTGAAAATTCAGTCGACGAGAACGTTATTTGCAGCAGTATGTCTATGATGAAATTAAACAGAAATGAAGATAGTGGATAGCCCTGACGGACATCAGTTGAGGTTGGAAAATCAGATGACAGTTCACCATAAGCATTCACTCGACTAGTAGTTTTTAAGTAAAGAGCCTGCACAAGGTTTATGTACTTCTGAGGTACGCCTTTCAATGACAGACACTGACACAGAACCTCTCGGTCTACAGACTCAAATGATGCTTTTAAGTGAAGAAAAACTATCATTGTCGGGCGCCGATAAGCACGTCTGTCCTAGAATCTGACAAATGGTGAATATGTGGTCTATGCAGCCAAATCTAAAACCAGCCTGATTTTCTCGTGTTTGCAGTTTACGAGTCTTTGTTAAGCGTATGGTAATTATTGAGACTAGTATTTTAGATGCTATATTAATTAAACTGATCCCTCTATTTTTATCACAGGATGAATTTGACCCCTTATATATTGGGACAATCAGTGGTTACAACCTACATGTATATCCATCTTACTAGCTTAAATGTTAGTCGCTTAAACTGTAGGATAACTTATCCGCTTAAATCCTATTCATTCGTTCGTTCCCATTTCTGTTAATATTCGCATCACAGACTTGTGGATTTGTGATGTGCACTGTACGATAATGAACCGCAGTCAATGCGTTGGAATATTCTCGAAAAAATTCCACTACACTTTTTGTACATCTAAAAAATATTATTCAAGCTGTTCGTGAAATGTAAAGTACCAGGAAAAAGATGAAAATGGATCAGTTTATGAAGAACCCATCCCATCTAAACAATTTGTTTAATTGTCGTCGTCATATCCCAACAATGAAATGAAAGGTCAGCCAAATACAGTTGCTCAAAAAATCAAACTAATGAGTTGAAAATAATGTTGGAAAGTTTAAAGAAACAAATTGTTATTGACTAAATGACACTATCTGTTATATAAATTAGTTGAAAGAGTCAAAAAAAGTCAATGTACATGAATTGCTATAAGAGTGAAAAAAATATAATGATAATTCTGAGTGGCAGTTCAGTTAAGTAAAATACAACCGGAAAGGATTCTTTTAGTCTCCGTTTAACTTCATCTTCTCATTGGTTTATCTAAATTTATTAAAGTAATTAATTGTCTTGCAATTGGTGAAATGATTTATGAACTTGATACAAAACTAACACTAAAAACGCAACTGTCATATATACTCAATATAATTTTGTAAGAAAGTATGTGAGATTTATTAGTTGTATCCTAAAAATTCACAATACAAAATATTTAGTTTAGTAAACGGAATATATCTATTGAGGTGTAAAATAAGAAAGATTGATTCAGAGAAGAGTTTGTAGCGGTTGGTACCATGTCGAGCTCATTTAGGTTCTTCTAGCTTTTGGATAGGCCAATTTATTCATTCTTCTCATGCTACATTTTGACCTTGTCACTTATTTGCTTATTAACCCTGACTTTTGATAATCGTATGTAAGTTAGCTGCTTGCCCTATTAATTACGTGTCTGTAACTTATTTTCGCTAAACATAGAAACAGTAAGGTAAAATAAATGAAGACGTAAAAACGCTATTTTTATTAAAATAATAGTAGCTTGAATATTCATTATGAAGATGCATACAAAAATTATAATTGGAAAGGAAAGACTCAGTGAGATGAGATAAAATGTTGGAATTCAGATGAACTGTAATCAGTAGGATCATAGAAACAGGAACAAAAAGTTCATAAAAAAGATAGAAGGGAAGCAGATGGCTTTGAGAGAAAAGATTTTAAAAGGTTACGAAAGACTAAGACCATGGTAGAAGAAAAGGTTTTACAAATTTCTCCTGTACATGTGATCCTAGTTTTTCAAAATCTATAGCAAATGCCTCGACAATGCTAAGAAGACGGGAGCTAACTGCCATGGCAGTTTTCAAATTACCCTGTAGATGATTTTGAACGCAAAGTTTATTTTGGTCGAAAGGCCTGTGTTTACAAGGTTTTCAACTATCGAGCTTCTAATAAAACCATTTCCAGCAAGCTAGATAATATTCTTGAATTATTTTAGATAAAATAAGCATAGAAACAACCCATATATCTACTTACATTGGTGAAATGATTTTTACATATATCAGTTAATCCTCTATATTGTCATTTACTAACATTCCCTTAAGTAATTCTTAATAGTGACAATAAGAACATATAAAACATAAAATAAAATGTACACTCATGTAGTTAATAATAATAGTATCATGTTCAAGTGCAACAATATAATACATAAATGATAACTTACAACACGTCTAGCCTCCTTTAAATAAGTGTTAAGGTATGGTTTATACGGCGATGAATCATTTAATTTAGAAAATAAATTATTTCCCACTGTAATTAAAGTCTCTAATTGATCTTGATAATTAGTAGATAAATTGCAATTGTTAGAATCGGTCTCAATCAAATTTTCATTTAAAGTTTTAGAAAATAACACCGTTGCACAACACCATACACAAAAAGGTGGTGGTTTAAGACATAATTGACCGTAAAGCTGAATAACTAAAAAAATAAAACACAAGAGGAAAAATAATTATTTAAATGAGTATGCTAAGTTGTGTAAAAACAATTTTAAGAAAATGTCTATCCATCAACTGTGGTAATTTTAAATTATCGATGACAATTATTTAACTGATCACTTTTCGATTTAATTGGCCTGAGACATGTAATTTTATTGAAAGTTTGTTTTAATTTTCATTATAACAGGAACGAAACAAATTCTGATCAAACAAACATTGAAACTACTTGATCGAATAGATTATCTTTAACGAGTATGAAGCCCATATCAAGTGGACAAACTTCAAAAGACAGAAATATTAACCAATTAGTGAGGCATCCCTATCTGAAATAAACCTCTAATTCACAGACGAAATATTTAGTAAAAATATTATATGAGCTGATTATCAAAAAGAGATAAAGCAATGCTACATCTAAGGTCAGTCAGTCAGTAACAACGTAGAACTTCGTACGTACGTACATCAGTTCGAGTTACCATACCACATTAGCACAGAGATGCAGTTTCTCATTCAAATCCCGTAGTGGTAGAGGCAAGAGTAAGAGGATAAACAGTAATCGGGAAGATTAAGGTTTGAAGATGTTATTTAAAGAGTATAATACAGTGAAATAAATTTGGGAAGAGAAAAAAGAAACAAGGAGGAATCAGGGGATTAGAATTTGGGAGAATACAAAGAGTGTATGCACCTGTGCCATTGCAAACGATTTTGAGCCATGTCATTCAAGGTCTCTAACCATAGGTTGCTATCATCTCGCGGTCCCCAATCAGGTAGTCTACACCTACCAACATGACTCAGTCCACTTGTCAGTGACTTCATGGACTTGTGCTATGTTTTGGTCTGGTCGTCCACTTTGTTATACAGTTCTAACCAATAAATGTCTCATGAACTTCAATTTGACCCAAACTCCAATAAACAAAACTTATGAATAAAAATGGTAATGATGATAATGTAAACTTCATGATTACCTTCTTTTAAAATTCCTGTATACCCCTTTCGAAGAACAAATATTAGGATGCTATTAAGCAAAAATCTATCCCGACTTTCTGATCAATAGATTGTTAGATGCTAGAACGAACTTACCACATAGTTGTCGGTTTGTAAATGTGCTACTTGGCTCGTCACCTGCATCAAGATCGACTGTGGCACTCTAAGATGTATGAAAAAACTGGTAAATAAAAATAGGATTTTTAATGTTTAAATAGTGATATCCAATACCAGACAGAAATATATTCAAACAGACGGAATTAAACAGATACTCAATAATTTCAGGGTTTCATTCCTAGGTTCATATATCCTTGGTTGTTCCATAATCCAATCTCAACCCAAATAACACAACGAGCTGAGGGATGTGATGACTAACCACGCATTGATAAAGTCTATGCTAATTCACTTAAGGTGTCTATACTTAATGTTGACTAAGATACTCCTTTTTCGGTTTATGTTGCATATGACAAGTAAATCCAAGTCGTGTGTGCTTCGATACAGCATTAAAATATACAATGCATTTAATAACTTTCCTAGAGTTTACTTCCTTCGGTCTTACAGATCTTGGGGGTATTTAACCAACCTGTGATATTAATTCATTATCGTATTACTGTAATCCAAATATAATAGAAAATCACTTCAAACAGAGTTATTTTGCAAAAGGTATTCAAATCCATAAAAAAAGATATATTTGGAAGAATTTAAGGAATGCAGTGAAAAATCTTGGAATCGTGTTATGTACACAGCAGGATGTCAAAAAAATATTTTGTTTTCTTATTTTAATCCTCGACCTTCAGCATGCCCAGTGAGAAATGCAACCGATCAATAAGGCAAAAGTACTCATGGGCTAAAAAGCTCTGAAGCAAATAGAAGTTAGGTAATAAATATATTCTTACCTCACCCATCTTTTAAAGCAACTTGAAGATGCTTTGAGTACCATAAGAACTACGATTCAAAGACAAACAAATTTATTAGGGAATACATATCCGACGGCCAACACAATGCCTACTAGTAGACAAAAAAACATAAATTTGAAGTATATCATGACAACATGTAGGTGGTGGAAATTCTGTGAAATTATTGAACATCCTTAACTATGAATGTAAAAATATCCCAATAAATTGAATGGATCTACTGCTTAATAGGAGAGCATTGTATTCAGACTCATCGTTTTAACTATCTCAGGCAGTACAAGTAGCTGAAGCGATAAATTTGACTCATAAATGGCAATATATAAAACGGTAGAATAGGAAAAGCACTTTAAGTACGACAAATATGGGCTCACGCTGAAATAACCAACAAACTAGTCAATATTTAACCACGGATCACTTTGCTGAATTTTCCTTCAGGTGTATTCATAACACCAGACCCTAAATGCTATGGTACGACCGAAGGTGAGAAAAGTTGGACACCTGCTACCATGGAAGTTCATCTGATGTTGCTCCACCACCTTCCGGATTACACCTCTAGGTCAAAGGATCGGAGAGTGGCCTCCCAAGAAAACTAATTACTTATGTTTGGGGGTGAGACTATAATTTATGGACGGACCAGTCAGATATAAGATATCAAGTTTTGGCATTATAGCTTATGTCAGTTCGTGATGAAAACCCCAAATCTAATTTTTTGACCCTAACCATCAACTGTAAATGATAATTCTGACTGCTTTATAACCGTCATTTAGTCCTAATTAGTAATAATAATCGTTCATTCCCAAGGTCACTTCAGCTTCGCTCAAAGGTCGTCCATATATTGTAGTCTCGCCGAAAAAACACCTTGAGTGTTTGTCGTTCTAAGGCATTTTGATTGATCGATACACTACCCCTAATTTATAGTTGCGAATTCATGTTTAGACGAATATATGCCAGGATGTGTAACACAAAAAATCTTCGTAGTAACTTACTAGATTATAAACAAGATATAGTGACAGGTATTTAGATTGAGATTTAAATCTTACTCCACTTGAAAATTAGTGTTTTTAAACCGCGATGCATTTTTCAGGTACAAGGTAGTCGAAGTCGAATTTCTTATGCAAAATCAGAATAAACAGTTGCAAACGTGATTACACATGTGCACAGTAAATTAAGTACCCATTCATTGTAATGATTGTAACAAGCTGACTGTGCCTAATTTGAAAATTCTGGCTTTTTGTTAGGTGTTCTTGGGCAGATTTTGGGGAAAAACTCAGGCCTAGGCAATTCGGGCAAAAACAAGCACAAATGCAGATACATGCCGCCAAAAAACAGTGTAACGCACATTCGGTGCAGTTCACAATTTTGCACGGGTTTCTTCAAATTTATTTGAATAATATGAAACCTGAGGTTCTTGGAATGCATAAAATGCATTGACACGAATACTAATCATAACGCTGTTTTAATCTATCTTCAGGAGAAAGTGTCATCTCAATCCGCTTTTACCAAATGTCTATTCAATTGAGTTTTAATTCTAGCTACTGCTAATTGATATTTCGATTCCGAAGCCGATTTCATTTTTGTATCTATCTTAAGTCTTCAGTAATAAGGATAATAGGTTGGTGAACCTGTATTAATCCTGACACATTGCTTTCCAGTGAAGGTCCATTTTCTCCTTGAAAGTATTCACTGATGGGGCTGATACCACCTTTTCGGGTAAGGCGTTCCAATCATTGACTGCTCGATGAGAAAAACAGGACCACACTTTAAGTTTATTAGATCGTGGTTTATGAACCTTCTTGCTATGACCTCAGAGATTATTAGTGCTGGAGGGAGCAAAAAGATAAGACATATTAACACCCAAATCATAATTAAAGATGCGAAATGCCTGCATAAGTTCACCTTGTGTCCTACGATACGATAAGGGGAAAAGATTTAGCGTTTTAAACGCTCATCATAACGGAGTTTAGAAAGACCCTTCATTAATTTCGTTTCTACACGCTGGACACGCTCAAGGGAGTTAGTATCCTTTACCAGACACGGGCTAGCTGCTTGGATACAGTACTCTAAATATGGTCTCACATAAGTGGAATATAAAATTCGAAACGTTTCCTCGTCAAAAGATTTGAACGCTCGACGAAGTGACCATAACGCACGAAAACCTTTGACAGAGGCTGCTTTGCAATGCGTAGTTGTTTTTAAATCATGACTCAATACTACTCCTAAGTCTTTATGCTCTTGAACGCAAGGAAGAGGTTTACCCTCATTAGTGTAACGGTAACTATTACCGTGACCGATGTGCATTAGTACACTCTTCCTAGCATTGATTTCTAAGCCCCACTCTCGAGCCCATCTAAGTCAGCTTGAAGATCCAGGTGATCAGCCTCACTTTTTATTGTTCTACAGATTTTCACATCATCCGCAAACAATAATGTCGACGACCTAAGTAACAGCGGTAACTCATTAACGTAAAGAAGGAAGAACAGAGGGCTTAAGATGGAGCCTCGGGGTACACCACTTTTGACCGGCTTCCAATCGGATAGCGTCCCGTTGACGCTCACTCTCTGTCTGTGGTCACATAAGAAACTTCCTATCCACTCATGTACAGTACCTATTATTCCGAAGCTCGTGAGCTTTTGCATAAGACCTACGTGTGAAACCTTGCCAAATGCTTTGCTAAAATCTATGAATATCACGTAGACAGACAGACCGTTATCTAGGGCTGCTGTCCAATCCTCCCTCGCAATAAGCAATTTAATCAAGCATGAACGCTTGTTACGAAATCCGTGTTGCTGAGGAGCTAACAGATTGTGTAAATCTATGTGGCTTAGCAACCTAACCCGAATTATCTTTTCAAGTAACTTAACGACTATGCTAGTTAGATTGACAGGCCGGTAGTTAAATACTATCTGTCGCTGACCGTCCTTAAATATAGGACTGACTTTAGCGTCCTTCCAATCAAGCGAAAGTCGACCAAGTATGCTTCGATGCAATAAATACACAAAAGCAAAACCGAAACACTCAATACAATATCACTTTAAGTGGGGTAGATGCAATTAAAGTGTAAACAGTAGTTCTGATGCGTAATTTACATTCAAAACACTTAATTAACTCAACGAGAAACAATACTACTGTTCTTTTAAATAAAGCGCAGGAGTTAAAAAAATAAGGGAGTTGAAGAGGTTTTTTATAAGTGTCTATCAGTAAAAGAGGAGCCAAAAAACTTGTGGTAAGTATGAGGATTGGAGGCGATATAACTGCGGAAAACGCTGACTCAATACTTCAAAGATTATGTTGACTTTCTCTCGAAAGTTACTAAGTTCATACAAAGCGCCATCGGAAGCTGTAGCGATGTGCAGCCCGAACGATCTGAAAACTGCCGTTAACTTATACATAATGCCGTACAAGAATCTCTTCCGTCTTGATGAATATTAACTACCTAAATATTGTAGTGCTGTTGATTCATTACCAGACGGTTTCTGAAGTTGAACGTTTAGGTACTAAGGCGATTTACATCCTACATATACCACTTGGGGAATAACAACAATGATGAATGCGGCAAAAACACAATCAATGATAATGATATGGCTTGGTCTTGCGGGCATGTCCATCCTGTGTGGCGTATATAGATTCACACTAAATATACTATTACATCTTTAGCCCAAATGTGTTGCTCAGAATTTCTAGACATAGTATTGCTGATTGTCACAATACGACGGGTCAGAGTCAACAGTGTTGTGACTTCCACGTAAGTTCTTATAGATCATGTAGTCAAATCGCGTTTTTGAAATGGAGTGCACCCGCCAACATCCATTTGTTGTGATCAAAGATAAAATAGTGAACATAGTGTGTTTTACTTCATATTGTTCATATACACTCAAGCTCTTACAAGACGTTACCGGTTAACTCTTGATATCATACTCGATAGTGTTATTAGTGAAGACATTTTACTTCGTCCATAAACCTAATAAATCTTTAAGTAGTCAAAACAGCGGTATGTATGAGCTTATTAAAACTTCTCTAATTTTGATTGTCACATGTACAGTCTCATAATGTGACTACCTGATCTATAATACCTTGATAATTTCTACAGTAATGTTTCCAGTTTGCAGATTTGCTCGATTTCTTATACCAACGACTCACATAGATGATTGTGTCACTAATTATCAGTTAATTTGTCAAACGACTTTGTCAACAGCTTCACCAATTTTATCAATCGCATTGTATGATCGTCAAGTCATGGCAATGCTTCATGACGATATATAGAAATCATTATGAATGACTATCATAATATTCATAAAGAGTTATCCGGTGGAGAATCAGCATTGTTGTTTTAAGTAATCATTAAATATCAAAAGTTTGTAGCATTAACGGATCCGAGCAGCCCATTACGAATCACGGTCGGGAAATATCGATTCCCAGTAAAAGGAGGAAGTTTGGACATGGGTTCATCAATCTCAGCACGTAGAAAAATTCTTATTAAAAAACGCCATCCAGATCAAAGAAATATTTGTTCAGTTAGTGTTCATTTTGATAGTAGACTCCAGAATTTTTATTTTGAACGCTTGCTTGGTTAACAATCAAATGGCAATTTAGTCATTATACCAGTGAAGTATGATGACATTATAGTGCAATAACTTTATTGTTGTAACCGTGTTAAGCGTCTGTACAGGTGCATAATACGATGGCCTAATTCATAAACCCATATGCGTATAGTGATAACGATTATGATGTGTTTGGTGGAAACTATTAAAATTTGTTCAAATAATCGTTAAATTCAAATGGCATAGAGTTGACATGATTCAAAGCGTGTACAAACCAGGTTAACGTGTATGTTGATGAGTAAAGTAACAGTGAGAAAAAGAAACTTGTCAGAAAAAATTTAAGTGTTGACACATGCCTCATGAAACCACAGTTAGGTGGGTGAAAATGTATGACATAGAATTAAGCCGACCGAGGCTACTAGAATATTAATAATAATAATAATAATAATAATTTATTCTCAAATGACAGTTTGTTACATGAGGCATGCCAGTTTACAGGCAAGATCGAATTGTTACAAAAGATACAATTTTCACTTTAGTAAATTACTCAGCTGGGTTGATGTTTTATAAGAAATGAATGTAGGTGGCAGTATCACAGTTGGTGCGCTTTGTGGAGGTTGAGTCTCGACGTGCAACTAATGGTCGAGAATAGATCCATTGAAGTTGGAGGCTTCTAGAAATCGCAACCCTATATCGCTCTGGAATATCTGAGGCTTTAATGATGTTGCACGACGACATCACCCGTTCCATATCTGCTTTCAGTGGCATATCTCATAAAGGCAGAAAAAGGGTGCAAGAAAAATAAAGGACGAGTAGCAAAGCAGACAATGTTCATGAAGGAATGCTTAAAGTATGCTTACTCAGTCTCTTCTCTGAACATTGCTACCAGTTCCATGTTACAGGTCAATCAGACAAATAAAGCTTTTGTATTGTGGGTTAGACTTCCATTTACTATATCACACTGCTATGAAGATAAATAATGGTATATGTTATAAAATGGTGGTCAGATTATATGTGGTCTAGAGATGATAAGGATAGATAGCAGATCGAAGGATATGTGAGAATAGTTTGGGATTGCAAGATTTCAGTGTAGGACGATACGTAAGAAAACCAAACGTTAGAAGGAACTCATAAGAATTTGGGATATTATGAACTTCTGGTGATCAGCCAAAAGACATAACATTACTCAGCAAAAGTGACGTGTCTTTGAGCATTATTTTTATACACAAATAGTGTTGTGAAGAAACCATTTCCGGTTTCTTCAGAACTTCAGTAATACATAAGTTTCAGTAGTGTTGGCACAATATTTGTCATATAATAAAATGGTTCCGTGTAGTTGGGAAGAATAGTGAGTTGACTAAAATGAAGGAAATGAAGAAAACAAGGGAACAGAAATGAAGATTAGGAATCTGAATTTGAGGGTTAGGAACATAAGGACATGACTAATAATGAATGAAGAATGGAAGAAAAGAAATTACGTGTTTCATTTGGTCATACCTATTCTCATGACAGTAGTTGCCCGTTATATTTATAATCATCCTAGATAGTGGGAGGTCCATACTAAAATGTCTCACTGGTGTGTAGGAGTTCAGGGAGTTGTTGAACGTCTGATTAATGACACATCATTAGCATAAAATAGTGTGTTCGGTACTTAAGAGTCAATAGGAGTATTTACAACAGGATGGCATCAATTATCTATCTGCGACAATTAAACTTGTAGCGACTCACTTTTATCACGAGAACACGATTGGTTTATTGAAAACAATTATTATTATAACCAATTGTACCAGTGACTGTTTTAATGTGCTTTTATTTAACTGTGCTAAAAACATCCATTTTTCTTACACTTTGATTATGAACTCGCGCGGATTCGGTTACGTTCCGTAACCAAGCTTGTATCTTGGCACGATCTCGGTATCCTTTCGATACCACGAGATAGCCAGCAAATATATCTCGACTTGGTCCAGTAAATGCCTTTGGATATTTGGCTTCCGGGGGATTTTATGGATTTATTTGACACGTGTTTCACTGTAGCGGTGTTCATAGGCAACTTCGACTCGACACCACGCTACAAACTAATCACTTTTAGAAGCCAATCAAAGATTGACAACCATCAACGGAGTAACACAGGAACCTTAGATTTAGCAAAACGCAACCTTATTGTCGATGGTCTGGCATAGTGCGATAACGAAACTACATTATGGATGTAAATAATGACTGAATTCACTTAATAAAAGCTCAGACAAGGAAGAGTGGAGAATGTAAACATGTTTACAAGAGTCCGGAAAAAAAGTTAGAACATAAGATAAAGCGAAAGAATAAATTAATAACAGTACTGTCTAATAAGACACTTAAGAGGGATTTCAGAGTATTCTTTCTGCTATGATTATTTCCACTTAAGTCAATGTACATATTTACCGATAGTTATGGACACACAATCGGTCGGCAAAACGTCTAGATTTTGCGTAGACATAACACAAAGAAGACTTGAGAATTTTTCGGAAACTTGGCAATCAGATCAATCAGTAATCAAGAAACATTTTAAAATCAACCCATTTTATGGATACACATAGTATCAAAAAATCAGGTTTGGCCAATGATAAGACAATGGTTGTAAAAGCTAATCACGATTGCTAATGTCAAAACGAGCCGTCATCCATGAACAAAATGGTTTTTATAGTTCACTTTATAGTCATTCGCCCCCAGGGTTATCCGTGTCTATGATTCGAAATTAAAGGAAGCTCTTGTTTAGCACACTAAGTTTACGGGCTGTTTTACTTTGTTTATTAGGCTCCAAGCATTTGTATACTAGTTTGTTAGTTTTGCGAAACACTTTTCCGTACCAAGCAAAGTGATATTTATTTTAAAACAATTAGCCCCTTTGGTAAATTTTGATAATGCATTGAGATGAAGTTTATCAGAATCATGTGATATGTTTGTGAAATGCATTTCAAACAACCTGTTAAGGCTTACCTTTAATCTGTCTGGTTGACGTTTTAACATTCATATAAAAATGTTTTAAGAAATATATCTGTGATCAGACTTGAAGATAGCACAGGTATTCAGTGTTTGACAACGCTTTTGCCAGTAACACCTTCTTATATAACTCGTACCCACCAAGAAAAATCACAAGACAGAATCGAGGAGATCAGAAGTTGTATTTGACGATTGCCAATATATCGGAATTATTTGATTTAATCTGGCTAGCGATTGCATTAGCAGTTGAGCACGGCGTTCCCACACGTGATCTGGTGTGGATGCATGACCGAGCGCTTCCAGCTAGATGAGTCCACTAAAACTAATCTGGTCAGCATTCAATGTCAAAAACTTACAGAGCTATTTATTTTGGGGATTTATTTACCGCTACAGACAGTTCGAAATGTATTTCGCAAATTTATCACATAATTCAGATAAACTTCGTCTTCTCATTGCATTATTGATATTCATTTTACCAACAAAATTTATTTTTTCTTACCCTACATGTTTAGATATTTATCTAAGAGCATTGCCTTCCCACTGTTGAACATAGATTCCTTTGAAAAGAAGCTTGAAGCGCTTGGACAATGATATATGGCGCAAAACCCATCAAGGCCGTTCGTAATGCAAAGAGCGTACTGTGGCATAAAGTACTCAGTATAGCAGTACTGAGGGTTGCGCGTAATGGATATAAAAGCCGGTATGTTTTCAAAGCTTTCGGTTTATTTTTTTCCAGAGTTGTTTTTCTTGGTAGTGAAGCTGTTAGAAGATGAAGGGTGTGTTATTGCGGCTGAGGTAAGTGCTGATTTTTTTTCTAATGTTCGGACAATTTAGTCTTTGAAAAGATTCATTGACGATAACAAAGTAGGTTTGTTTGTTTCTCGTCAACTGTTTAGCTGTTGCCTTCTCGTATCAACACTGTCGGTGTCCCATTTGACAACACGTTTGATAACTATGTTTGTTGTGTTTCTAATAATGACCATTTTTGTTGTAGAATAGCCTTCACAATCTAAGCAAGCCGTCTGTTTTGGTTGAATATTACCAGCTTCTGGTAAAGTTAGTGCATGATAGTAACAGATGTGCTTCCCACCTAAAAACCCTAATCGGAATTCAAAGTAGCCTATTTTAGTTTTTAATTAGTCTCTTTTAGATAAATTTGAAAAGGCTTTCAGCACAAGGCGCATAGGTTGCTTGTTTTAGATACTTATTTTATATACTTTTAGATCTTCATATAGTCTCGAAAGATCACAAAAGGTTACGGAGGCCTTTAATAAACCACTTGCATCAGCATTCAAAGCTGCAGTTACACATTCTTGCTCACCGTACGGCAATTTATTGTTTGGAGTTTGATAAGCGTGGGAATTATGCTTTCACAGTAGGTTTAACAATGTTTTGTTCCTGCAAAAGTTTAATTGAATTATTTCGGTTTGTTAACTTCACGGGCTTCATTGTTTCATAAGTAATGCACACTATTTACAGTGCTCTTATTTCAGATACTTGAAATGAGTATTGAGCAAAATATTCATCAAGGTTTTATCTTTTTATAAATAATGTCGAGGAATTTTTCTAAAATTCGGATGTTTACCTCTACCCATTCAAGAAACTACTTTGATTGGCTCTGGTGTACCACTTTTTTAGTTTATATTTAAGTACTTACAAAGATAACGACAAATTTGTTTAGTTTTGTCTCGCAACGATAGAAATATCAAACAATCTGAAAATAAATCAAATATTACTAATAGAATATAGCGTTGGTAGCTTGTTGCGTCCCCATATACTTCACCGCGTATACTTTTGTGAACCGATGTATTTTCTTTACTCAGCCAAACTACTAGGCTTTTTGACGTATGACCTCAATTCAGCTTAAGACAAAATTAAATTGGTAGAGTGCTAGTTGTTTCCGGATTAGGATATGACATTAATCACTGAATTCATCGATAGTTAGTATGATACGTCCATGGAAGCAGTCTTTTCGGCTGAATCTTATAGAGTAATTGCCATCATCCTATCACAACTCGGACAAGGCTAATCATATGACTACATGCATTGTATTATTTGCTTGCAAATCATTTGACTTTGTCTTATCATAAAATCAGGCTGACCGAAATCCCAGTGTTTATTAAGCTACTTAGTGTGATTGTGGTCTTTAACAGTATTTAATTATTGCGAAGGCATTTTAATTTTCACTTTAATGTCCCATTGTTTCAGGGATCCGACGATTACACCATTAAAATCTGGTCTGTAAAAGGATCAAGTACACCGTCATGTACCCTACGCCATACTCTTCGAGGTCATGTTGCCGAAATAATTGAACTAACTGTATCTATCGACAACCATTTACTCGCATCAATAGATTCAAACTGCTGTTTAGTAATATGGTGCCTGAAAACTGGACAACCAGTAGTAGCTGTTCGAGGATCACGTAATAATCGGGTACTGTCTGGTCTCGCTTTCCTCAATGTACCTAAAAAATTGGGGCCAGTGAACAAAGGTAAAAAGTATCAGATTGCCTATTAGTGCTTTCCTCTTCTCAAAATGTTAACTTGTTGTTCTTGACTGCGTGATTTAGTCAGTCTTTTCGTTTTCGCAACCCATCCTTATTTTCTCGAGTGGAAATAATCTTCGATGTTTTTGATAGAAATTTGACCTTAGTTTTAATAAGTTTCACAAGCTAAATTGCGTGCTGTCACTTTAAAATGAAGTGAATTGGCTTATGATGTTAGAAATGATCTTTCAGGAGACCCAATTCTGTAGATCATGAACATGAAACAGCCCATGTATGAGGTTATGTGTGATATATGTAAAGTGAGCTAAAGACAAAATAAAATAGGTCATATATGGATTATAAAAACGTTTCCTTATTCGTGAGTAGTCTAGAATTAGATAAATGTAATTAAATCCTTGCATTAGGAAATCTCACAAGCCTTGTGTAAGGACCGAAAAACTTGGTTCTTGGAGAGTGTTAATGAGTTGGAAGCAGCGACTGTCTCTGATAACTTCTAGAAGCTATCCCATCTCGTTTAAGCCAATAGCCGAGAATTCTCATGTCAGTGAAACAGTCTGTAATGCTGATGTGATGCTAGTTAGTAACATCCGAAACGTCTCGGACATTGGCTAGAGTTATTCTAAGGAAAATCAAGTTGGTCTGTTACCCCAGAAACATCGATCAAACCATCCTTTTCTTCCCGAACGTTAACGGCTGATCTACTTAACAAAGTAGAGGTTCACAAAGGACTTCAAACTCTGAAATGCTGTAATTCATCAGGGCTAAATGTTCTACTTTCAACCCTTTTCAAGGTTGTGTTGAAAAAGAGTGTTTGGGAAATCTACTGTCATCTTAAAGGATCTTTATACAAACGTTAGGCAAAGTGGGGGCATGTCACCTCTCAGTTGTCTCAATCTAGCAATGGTTTCAAGTGGGATTGCCGAACCTAACTATTTCTCCCAAACTTTAGGAAAGCACCTCTGTAGGAAGTAGGTAGTGGCGGTGGTGTAGAGGTCTGTTACCTTCTAACAAACGTTTCAACCTTGAGCTACGGGATGAAATCGTTTGACTGTACAATAATGCACAATCTATACAAGTTTCACTTAATCAGTTTGCAAGTGTTCGTAAGTATAGCATATAATTTTCAAATTCTGAATGGAAAGTACTTTCACAGGGCTAAGAGAAGCCTGCATCCTCATCCATTACATGCGGTGACTCGTTAAAAGTAGTCGTCAAGTACACGTGAGTGTATCAAATGATCAGTTTATTGATAGGAGTGGTATTGTTTTAATCATATAGTGTCAGGAATCACAACTAATGAACTCCAAAAAAGTTACTGTTTTGCAATGGTGTTGGTTGTCACTAGTAAAATTGTAGTTTTGAGAGTACAAAAAAAGATAATACTTCCTTTCAGTTGACTAGCATTAAACTAGTGATTTGTACTTGTGAAATGTTTATTTTTCTGTACTAAGACAAATCCTCGCACCGTACATTTAACTCAGTCTGTTTAAATATCGATATTAACAGAAAGTAGTCGTAATAACAATGGGATTAAAAGAATCGTGGAGCGTGTAAAGAACGACAGATGAAAGACATGCGGATTATCGATTTAATGTATAGTTTCCATATTTTACGAAAGCACCATAGTTTTGCATTAAACAATAGGTTGGTCTTCCCCACTTGGGTGTTTGTTCACTACAAAACTTCATATCCTCATTATAAGAAGTGGATATCACTTGCTATTTATGAACTAAGGATGATTTAGAGATGTGTTCCAGACAATTGTAAATTTCCATGCTTATGTTCCTGTAAACGTTATTTATATTTACTCAACACCTGGATATAACCTGGTTTTCTGTTTTGGTTCTTTAGAATTCGCTTGAATTTATTCCAAGTTAACAGCAGCAGGTCAAGGAGACGATAAGTCTGTTTGAACTGTTGAGATAAAACTGAGTTATTATTATGGAGTAGATATGTAAATTTAAATTAAGCACAGCTACTTCGTGAAGTTGACTAAGTATCATTAAGCTAAATTTTGCAATTTTTTATAGATTCATTGAATTCGAATGATGTTAATCATCCTTCTGGTATGCTCATAGTATCATCCTTTGGTGGTTATCTTCACATCATACCTTATATTCACACCGTTCATCATGCTCATCGTGAGGATGAGTTCGGTAATGTAGCTAATCATTTTGAAAATAGATGGATTTGTTGTGCTGTCCAACTACTTCCTACGATTCGTTTTACAACAGCTCCTGAAGGTACACCGAATATATATTGGCCATCCATTGCATGTATTGATGTCAGTCCTGGTGAGTTGACCAAATAGTTTTTCTTTATTGATTTTGTTACCTTTTAAAACTAAGTTGTTGACTAGACTTTGTAATAAGTGTAACGTTGGTTTATAAATCGATAATTGCATGCAATTATGATAATCGAAGTTGAAAGGAAAATCTGTATTTCTATAGGAATTAAGCCCATATCATCTTGGCTTAACTTTTTGCCTTCCATTAGTATAATCATTAGGCATAACAGTCAATGATCGAAGTAAGATTATTGCTTGATTAACGTTTTTACAGTCCAGTCAGTAGGCCACGTAGTCAGTTACTGATAGCTGCTTATCTAAATCCTTCAGCAGCCTCAGGTTTTCTTTTGACTCAGCTCAATAAAAATGTTTACCGACGAAGTTAACTGGCAATCATGGTGTGTTGCGTATCTTCTGGAGCTGAACTCTGTTTCACCTCATATGAGAAAATATTAGAGCTATGGATTTAGTCTGAAGTTTCATACTGAGGTAAGACGACTGTTCTGTGCTTCTTAGTCTTCAGTCGTGGTCTTAATTATTCTAGTCTTTGTTTGGGCCTCACTACGAATAAGAATGTTTATGTTTTGTGTAAGTAAACCGAATGTATTGTGTACCCGTATTATTTATTTTAAGACTTTATAGTGTAGAATTTGAATGATTCTTTACTTCGTATTATTTGTTTATCATTTAAGGTGGACTCTTAGTTGCAGCCGGTTGTTCAGATCAACGTATTCGTTTGTATCAGTTCATGAATCCACTCAAACCCGAACCAGCTGGTGTACTGGCTGCTCATGAGGTGAGTATAAAGTGTTATGTTATAAATTTAGAGTGTTATGCCCGTCAATTTTCTGGTTTTTTTTTCTATATTGACTTTGTCCATGTGTTTATGTTGTTAATGGAAGGTTATGAAGTCGTGAATCGTAAGTATTCAGAATAAAAAGTTTTTCCCTTTGCATATTTTATTCATCTCCAAAATCATCTCACATATTTTATTTTGACTTCCTCCAATCATATTTCATTTCCTCTGCTGTTTTTTTCTTTGAAAATCACAATAATACCGATTATTGTAAAGGCACAAGACACAATAATGAAATCTACTATATTTTAATTGTGTATGTTTGGTTACGATGAAGAGTTTTCAGCATAAAGGTTTACTATTGTATCAAATTCCTATCATGTTAAGGTTTAACATGTAAACACATTAAAATATGTGTAAAAACGTTTTCCGACGGTGATTAACTGCCATATGCACCTGTAATGACAGTTGTTAATGATCATTATAATTCCTATGACATTCTTTCACCATGCATTATATTTGATACATAGAATTCACTGTATTACCATTCCCTTTTTCCTAACAATAAACAGACATGAAAGTGTATCAGCTCTTCTGATGACTTCATTTGGATTTTGTTCTAACTAGTCTCAACGTAGGATATAAACATTTTATAAAATCTCATTCAATACAAATGTAAAACAAGAAAGTGGACAGTCGGAGCAGTGGTTTAATGATCAAGGTATCTGAGTTTCAGCCGCTAACTCGCAAGTTCAAACCCCACCCCCACCTAGTTTAGTCTGAGCGACCTCATTGTATCATTAACCCCTATATTTTCCGTGTGACTCGTACCGAAGTACCTGCTAAATGAGTTAATTATTATTTTATCCATTCATTACTACATACTTGGAGAAAAATGACCTAGGATCCGTTCTCGTCATATCTCACCAAATCCTCTGACATTTCATAGTCTGTTATCTTAAATACATGAGCAAAGCTTACTTTCTTTAATTCATACCATTAGTGTTAATTATTATCTTACGATACTAATTCTTGTTAACTCATTTTATTTACAAAATCTGGTATAGCGGGGCATCAGAATTTATACGTCCCACACAAGTGAGCTTGAATACTGGCCTTTTTGAGGAAACCATTCTCAGAGTTTGCAACCTAGAAATCTAATCCCCAAGTCGTTGAAGAAATCTCAGATGCCATCCCACGGTAGCCGGCGATCAGAATTAGGTTCATATTGCCATTTGTTTCCTCAGGATACTGGGGCTCATGCATACCATTGGTTTAATACCAGGGTTTTCCAACTTCCCCAAATGCCCTGATACGGCCTAGGGTGGGGAGAGTCAACTCTCACTCGAAATGCTCTCACATGGTCACGTGAATACAAACACTGCCGGGAAGTCCTACCCACTGCCTTCTCGCCGCAGTAGTGCTGTTCACGACATTGAGAAGATGAGAAGCGAATGTCTGGCGCTTTAAACGGGTTGGTGGACACGGGTGTCCACCTAGGGGAGTTGGAAAACCCTCATTCCAAACCAATGATGCACATGGGCTTTTGGATACTGAAGGAACAAATGGCATGTGAACATATTGTTGATCACCGGCTACCATGGGACTGCATCTTCTGACGTTCCTCTACTGCTTTGTGGATTAGACCTCTAGGTCAAAGGTTTGGGCAATCGCCTCAAGATATAACAAAAGCCATCTGCTTCACTTTGGGCACCCGGGCAGTATCCTAGCCCACACACAATTCAAGTGACTTGTGTGGCGCATATGTATTCATTGCCCCTTTATACCAATATTTATGTGACCAAATAGATAAATAATCTTTTGTTTCCGTTAATTCAGTTTAAATTTCGTACGTTCGCTTTTCCTCCTCTTACTTTCGTAAGTAACATACATTCCTATCGCTTGAAGGCTGTGAACTGGGCTTCCTTGATAGTGACCATGAATGCATGATTGTATGTAAACATATCGCAACAGTGAAGGGGCTGTGTTTCTTCACTCCAGGTCGTACCAAAATTTAATCTGCCGAAGCTGCTCACAACGATTGGGTTTCATAATTGGTTAGAAGAATAATCAAAAACTCATAGTTTACTCATTTTAGAAACCAAGTTTTGTATTTTCCGTTTTTTTTTCTGTATTTTACTATTTTTTAACTATTTTTTACTTGAAAACCAAATTTCAAAAATCACACGTTGAAAAAACTGACAAACTACTGTCCAACAAAATAGGAAAGTGTCAATAGCGTAGCATTCAGTCATTCTGGATTAAAATTGGCCACCGGCAGTTCAGATGGTGGAAGTTGTTGGCTGTGGAAATTCCAAGCAGGTCAATGGAGAAGTATGACGTTACTATTTCGTAAAAGGTACTTTCGGGATTTTTTATTACCAATTGTTCTAATTGTCCATTTTAACAGTAGTTTTCCTATAGATTATTTATTCTATGCACAGGATTTATTGCTCATAATTCAATTATATTTAGTGGTCTCATTACCATAATCTCTGCCTTAACATTGATCAGTTTGTCTGTCATTCTAATCCGTTTGAAACTTCATAACTGGAGTAGCTGTTTCTTGAAGACATTACTATATCAGAATATAGTCGACTACATAGAGTAGTGTAAATCAAAACTACTTTTTTTGTCATAATTCCACATGACCATGTTTTTTCCCAAGGCAAAACGTGTTGAAATGTCATAAGCGCTTTGAATCACTTCTGTGTATATTCAATTCTGTTGAATATCCTCTATCTGAATTCAAACTCTGGAAAAACCCACATGAACGGAAAAGTTAAAAATGGAAATTAAAACAACTCCGTTATATTGTTTCATTGGGGCCCTAATGAAATTCAGTTAGGCAACAGCACATAAACTTCATGAAATATTAGTATCCGTAATCCATTTTTCCAAAAAGAGAGGGTATCTGTATTTGCTCAGAAAATCTAAAAGGTAAGAAAAGTATAAAGTTGCACAACACCTTATCTGCATTGCACTCTAGAGAAATAGTAATCTTAAGATAATATTTGTAGTGTATTTCATGTATTGAGTTCACGCTGACTTACTTCACATCTAGTTACAGAGCTTGTTTGCAGACTAGTGATAACACTCTTCTGGGCAAACAAAATTACATGCAGTTAGGTTAGAACATGGGATCTACTCATCTTTAGAAGAGTGGTTTAACCACTAATTATCTATCCTTTTGAGCTGATAGATTGTTGAAGCTAGTTTGTCATCTATGAACTATTTTAAAATAATGGAAGAAACTTACAGTTTAGGTGTTACGTTTTCTGAGGTGAATTGATTTGATTGTGAAGCTTTTTTGTCATTCTGAAAAACATATCGTGAGGACATAATTTAAATATAAATGAGTCTTTCAAAATTTGTCCATATGCACCAAATCACTTCATTCTGATAGTCTTTTTCTCGATTGATTGTATTATCTTTGCGTTCCCATTTTTCGCTAAATCTGTTGTTCAATTGACCTCTAATCATCTGTCCATAATTCTTATGTTTACACACTGAGATTTTGCAATCATTGTTGTATGAACTGATATAATTGGTAGCGTGTCATGTCCTTTCACTGCTAATTTATGCTCATGTATACATTGGTGAAGGTGGGTGTGCTTTTTGTCCGACGTAGTGAGCCCAATAGATACTATTTTGTGGATAGTGGTTCACTTAATCTCCTTATCTGTTGTACTTTTTCTCCATAAAATGCAATGTTGCGTTGGGTTGTAAACGAAATACTTCTGAGGGTTGAAAAAATCCATTTCATAACCGTCTTCTGTAAAAATGGCTATCCATACAACTTCGCCAAAGATTGTCGAGAAAATAGACGTGTCATCACAAAATCACCCTAGAAACCAAAAACTAGATTATCCTACTGTATATGTAATTCATTTCAGAAATCCCTGCAAGTGTTTTGAGACCCTTCGAATAACGTCCAAGATGATAATGAAAGCTTCTCAGTCAACCAGTTAAGCTCAGAGAACACAATGCTACCAAAGAGAAGGTGTAAAGTATGAATTATTTCACTGGACAGGTGTCATCAAATAACAGAGTTTAACGCCCGTTAAATAGTTTCAAAATTGCCGTTTAATTATAGAAAAAGAGATTCAACGTAGTAATCATCTTTTTTGACAGCGATCTTTGTTATCACACTGTATAGTGTTGTTGTATAGAAGTACTACAGTTACTAGAAAATGTGATTTACGCTTTTATGAGCAGGACACACGTTTCTCCCTGTTTGGGATTCTTCAGCTGTATTTATCCGCATCACTTTGGGACTCAAACCCAGTACCTTCCGCTCCAAACGCCGTGTTATACACTTCGCTACTAAGTCCAGATAGCCTCTAGCTTGTGCAATGGGGTGAAGTTTCAAATAAGACGATTCCACTCTTAGCTACTATCTATCTTTACTTATAATGCTTGTGACTTGGGGCAGTATCGAGGTCATCCGCAGGATGCACATATGCCAGTAAGAGATTGGTCAATTACAGTCCTAAACATCAATGGGAGGTTTCAAACAATCAATACAAGAATGAATTAAAATTTACGGTTGCTGTTGAGTTCTGTGTATAGGTACGAAACAGCAGTTTGTTAGTAATTTTATACATCATTTCCGATTGGTAAATTTGACGAAATCAAGCACGATGAATGTAGTAGACTAACATGAATTCACTTACATTTCACGATTGCTCATCAGCTGATTACAAATTGGAAATTGGCGTACATATTTTACATATTATGATATCGTAAAATAATGAATATATATTTTTTGTTATATCCCGATGAGTAGAATAATTGCATTTCTGACGTTTCGTGACTTCATGTAAGCCACTTCTTCAAAGTAAATATTTACGAAACATCAGAAATACAATTTTCCTACTCATTGGAATATATATGAAAATAGCACGTCCAACCTTGGCATACATACCTACAAATATCGAAAAAGTTCTCATCCATAAAAACTCATGAAGAGTAATAAGTATAGAAGAACTAGAAAATATAGTTCATATGTTGACGAACAAATCACAAAATAAAATGAATTCATGTTATTCTGTTATATTCATGTAGTGTTTAGTACTGTGTCAACAGGCCACGAAATTGATTATTCCTACTTTAATTAAAATTAATGATTTTCTAGATGGATTTATACGTAGAATATGCTTTTCGTTGAGTGACAATGTGCATAATGGTTTCTGTATTTTATGAATTATTTCAGGGTAAAATGTCGACCTTGTCTTTTAATTTGGTCAATACATGATCAATACTTAATTGCTTCAATGAAGAATGGATCAGTTTATATATATTTTGGTCATAGTGGGCAATTGGTCACAATTATTGAAGTAGATTGAATTTATACATAACGTTTTATGAAATTCCATTATTTATTTACATTGATACTTTTTTATAACCGGACCTAAATATCTATTGTTTTCGGTAATTAGTCTTTTCCAAATCTCATTGTGTGGTCAAGTTTTCTCTCATCTTTTCTCAGTCATCGATGTAATTTAAGGTTACTCTGTCACTTAAGTAAGTTCCTCACTATTAGTGGAAGTACTTTTTTATATTTCGAAGAAAAATTTTCAGAATATTTCTTATGGGTTATGGCAAAAAATGATATGAAATTAATCTACAGTTGCTGAGAGTCTTATATCAACCTGCTCCATCTTTAGTACCTTCTTGATGTTGGTTTGGCTGTAAAATGTTGGGTGGCGTTTCTGTATGTTTATGAAACCTGACATCTCCAAAATAAAGATATCAAATGACCCTCTTTATCTGATCACTATTAATGCTGAAATTCAGGAATGTGTGCTTAGAGGCAGTGATGATAAGTCGATTGGTGTCACCATTTTGTGACACCAACTTCAGTGATTTGGACATGTTTTTGCTCGCATCTGCTGGGATCACCGGGTAATTAATAGTGAGGTTAGACGCAGAGTATTAGTCCAAGCCATGTTGGTAGATGCAAACTACTTGGTTGGTGTCCGCGTGACTATCGTAACCAACGGTTGAAGACTTTGGGTGATATGGCTCAAAATCCATCACAATGGCGTAGTTGCATACACTGTCTTCCTTTAAACTATAGGATTAACATCGCTTCATATCTTTCTTTCTACGAACTAATTCCTTCCTGTACTATGTCAATATATGCAATCTTTCTTTTATATATTACTACCATTGAAGTAACTTCTTCCATGAATCTGGTGTTCATCTTGTTGTGCTAATGAGATGTAACTTGGATCGATGCATATATGTACCTAGTCCTATATTGTAGCTGGCTGAATGACTGACTGACATGTTTTGCAAATGTTATCCTAGTGGTTTCTACATTGTTCATTAATCACCAATTCTAGGACTGCACCGAAAATCTGAAAGGCGTTCAGATTATGACATAAAACCGCGGCATTATAGAAAAATATTTAGGATTAATGACAATTATCAACCCACAATGATCTCCCTTTGTTTATCTCCTCACACGTTTATCACTTCTTATTCTGTATAGCATATATTTTATTTTGATAATTGTACCAAAGTTTACTTGTAGTAAATATAACGTACATTTCCATTATACCAGATAATTTCTTGTTTATATTATTCTTTCTAAATTAGAATAATTAACTACTTCAGTAAAACATTGCTTATTCATTTCTCTTTTGAAAGACTGTACTTTAAACGTTTTATATACCCTTAATAGTTCTAATTTTCATTTTTTTATGTTTCTAAAAAAATGCCAACCAAGGGACATGAAGGTGCAATTCACGCTGTATCACCATCACCATTTGATGAGAATATTTTAGCTACAGGTGGAGTTGATGGTCGTTTTCAACTGTGGAATATTTCAAATCTTCGACGTTTTCAACAAAACCCGCAACATGATGAAGATAATCACCAATCAATAGATAAACCTTTATTATTCCATTATCGATTTCCTCCTGGTGATTTAGACATAATACAAGGATTAGTATGGCGTTTTGACAACCCACCAGATGATCAACCTATATGGTCTGGTGCAAATACAACTGCAGTTAATCGTAGAACTACTCGTGATAACCTACAATTATCTGCATTAGATCCGTCAAATCACACAATTGATTTGCTAACTGACAATACTACTAATAGCACTATTAGTAGTAGTAACAATTATGGTAATAGTGCATCTTCTCATCGTGCATTGACAGGATCTCGTTCTCAGTTGAATAGTACTGCTACTAGAACAAGTTCATTGTCTAATACAAAAATGCAAAGGATAACCGCTTGTCGTGCAATACCTACCATTGAAGGTGTTGGATTTCTTGTGGTTACTAAAAGTGGTGTTATGTCTTTATTCTCTCCGGCAGACGAGTCTACAACAACTGATTCATCATGTAAATATAATATTCAGGTAAGATTGGATGTGTTTATATATTGCCTAGTTTTCTACTTATTCAAAAAGACAGGGAGGCATAAAGCATTATGAATTTACTGGTTAGTTTTTACAACAGAAAACCATTTGAAATCTTCACTCTTATAATTAAGAATCTGAATAATGTAGTTATCATTTATTGGCCATTCACTCTTTCTTTATTGTTTAACTAAATTAATGGCTACTAAAGTGTTTATTAAATTTTAATTGTTTACTCTATTACAAATACATTTTTCTATGGCAACTCGAACTGATATACGTACGTACGAAGTTCTACGTTGTCTCTGACTGATTGGGATATCGCCAATCAACTTACAATAGTCTTTTTTTGCTTATTAGTTTTAATTATCTACATAAATAACAAAGTTTTGGACATAAGTCTGTTGTTTATATTCATCAACAATTACAAGACAATTTATAGATACGTAACTACACTAGAAATAAAAGTCACAGAAATGTATTTAAAAGAGATGTATTACAAAAAAAGAATGAATAAAAGTTAAGTGAGAAGTATAAATGGATATTACTAAGCTAATGATGTCATAGAAATAGGAGAGAAATGAGGGAATCTATTACACTGTGACTTATTAGAATTCATATCACTTATAACATCTCTAATTATAGGCTACGATTATTTTATAGATTCTAATCTAAAAGTTTGTATCATTTTATATAGTATATAACAATAATGAATGGCTGTACAAATGAATATTTTATGATGATTGTATCTCATGTAAACTTTTTACAACCAAGTTCTACGCTATTTGACTGCGTATTGTCTCGAAGTAACGTGAATAAGTGACTAGATAATTATATACAATGAATTTCTCAATCAATTAAATTCACAAATTATCGTTCATTGAACAGTGTGATCAAGCGAAACATTAAACACTTTGATCTTTACTATTTACTGTTTCCTTTCTGTTAAATTTGTTGAAATACATGCTGAAGATATCCTACAAGATATTTTTCTTATTGAAATCAATGATATCTTTACAAGTTATTATTATTACCATTGTTCCATTTACCTGCCACTTTTTTTTCCAGTCATCACCAGTTGATGAACAGTTTCTTCATTGGGAATTGGATACAGCGGAATGGAGAGAAGTTGTACCCGATCCTAGTAGTAGTAATAATACTAATAATGATAGTAATTTTAATTCTAACGTACTTCGTATCTATGAAAATACTCTACAGGCGTTAGGAAGTCCACCAGCTCAACAGTCAGCTAATTCACCATCAAACGGTCGAGTTAATTTATCACGAGAAAATTCACAAAATAATCATCATAGGGAATTAATTAATAATCATAACAATGAAAATGATAATAATAATTCTGGTCGAATCATTCGTTATAGACCTCCTCCAGCTGTACTATATGAAATTATACATGCACCTAGCGGTGTGCCATTTCATCGATTACCACCGGGTTATTTAACCAATTTAAGAGGATTCCCATATCCATCAAAACGTCAATTACAAATACCAGGTCGTAGTCATTTAATACAACCATCAGATTTATTACCATCAGTCACATTAGATGAAGAAAGTGAGTAATTGAAACTGTAGTAGTATTTTCAAGTAACTGATAATGGATTTTTTAAAATCATGTTCAATGTGTCTTGTAATCTGTTGTTGTTGTTGTTTTAATGGGATTCAGTAATTTAAAAGATTCTTCTATTAACTGATAGGATCAATGCGAATTACATAGACCGGACGATTAACACATTACAAAACTTCAACATTAATGATCCATACACAAATAAGAGAGATAGAGAAGTTCAAGTTTTATTGAAAGAAACCATTAGAAAATTTCAATTTCCATTCAAATTCATTCAATTACAAATCGATAATTATCAATTAAAGAACTCATCATATTGGATAATTGTATTCATTGAATACAAAATCACAATAAATTAATTAATACAATGAAAATATGTGAATAGAGGAATTCATTGATGAATTGGTTCATGCATTCGACCTTAATCAATAATTGATGCTATCACTGTTAGTTATTAATGAATAACTCACTTATTAAATACAGGATTGTATACTTGATTTTAAATCACCCTTTAAATATGAAGGCTAGTGATACACTAGTCAATTGATCGAACGAGAGTATGTGGAGCAGGGTGATTAAAAGTCGATTACCTTAATCACTGAGCCTTAAAAAATATTTTGAATTTAGTGAAGATGTAAAAGCTTTCAAAATTAACTGAATTTAGCAATAGAAAAAATATCCATTCTACCTTTGACAACGTCCTGATCAGTTTGGATTGATAAAGACCACTAACCAGAACAGTACTCTAATCTCATTTACAGTATAAATATATTTGTAAAATTAATCTAACATGTTGATTCTTGTTTATTTTCCTAACCCTGTTATTTATTTAGCTGGTGAAGATATTGTTGTGGATGATATTCAATTTTGTCCAAATGTTCCAATCGATTACTGTCCAATACCTGAATTATCGAGTACTCAACCGATTTATGGTAAAAATTATCTTTGGTGCTCACCATGGTTAACTAACAAAACACCGTTGATAGAACCTTTGGATTCGAATGAGTTGAAGTAGGTATTTATGTCTATCTTTCATCATCATTGTCAATTGTACATTTTTAATTTTAGACGTTTTTGTTTGACAAATTTATTAATTTTTGCATGGGTAGTCATTTTTTATATCTATAGAATCAGGGATTGTTAAACTGAACCTTGTTAATAGGTCCAAATCACCCAGTTAGAGTCCGCAAAATAACGGCATTCAGTGAATAGAAAGATTAGGTGATTAGATCAAAAATCGGTCACTGTGGTGCATTTGTACGTTTTTCTTAATCTTAAGATTCAATATTTCTTCATGCGTATATTCTTTTCGAACTATATTTTAAATGTTGAGTCTTACTATCGTTGGTTGTAATATTATTTTGACTCTTGCTATTCAGTCTGTCAATTTCACGTGTCTGTAATATTTTTGAGATATGACATCCTGGACTGATCAAGAGACCATTGAGAGTATGCTCATTTTATGTTCAACTCTTTGTGTCTTTCATTGTTTCTCTTTTTTGATGTAAAATGCTGTGAAAATCATGTTTATCAGTGAAAGCGAGTATTCGGAAATTCCTTATACATATATTAGACTTGTATTTGTGGTAACTGACTCAAATCTTTCTAATAGTAAACTTATTTAAATCTACAAGGATGTGACCTATAGATGCTGTCTAATCCATATTTATAATAGCCATATTCGCTAACGCATTTACATTAAGTTTAAATATGAACTACTAGAACTTTGATTATTTCACATTTTTTAATGATTGTATCAGTCATGAACAAGGTAAATCTTGTTTTCAGATTTATCAATCAGTCACAACATAGAACCTGTACTCATATACATCGGTTCATGTTTCCATACCCCCATTAGCACAGAGAAGTATTGTCAGGAAAACCTCAATATTAGAGGTAGTAATAGAATCAGTGGTTGTAGGAAAGATCTAAGATGCGACTAGAAAAGTAAATATAAATTTGTTGGGGACATTAGATCCCCAGAACTCACTTAGAAAGGGACCTAATTTTGTAATTTTATTTAGAAAATTTGAATTTCATTGTTTTCGCTCCAAAAGTGCTCTTTTCACCTTCATGTCTTATTTCCCACTTGGGAGAATTTTAAGTGCTATTGGTTCGTTGTGTTTTTTAGTATGCTATTTTGTAACTCTCTCTAAGGACGGCTTTATGCTGTATATATGCGTTTTGATTTGTGTTTGTTGTTATCGCTCGTTTCTGGCTGTTTGCAAAATATACTTCCCCATTCCAAGCTTGGACTTCTTCCTCTGGTTAGCAGGGCTGGGACGCATCGAATAGCTAGCTTGTTGGTCTTTGGTCACCGAGTCTTTGTTCCGTTCGCAGTCTAAGTGAACTCGTAACCGCTTCAAACCTAGCAAAATTAACAAAACAAAAAGGGCTATAGTAAATTCAGGATATCAGGATTTGTGGGAAGACATTAATGGATAAACTTGTGTAATTGCAAACGACTTTGGTCTATGTCATCCAAAGTCTAACCATTGATTACGATAATCATACCGACCCCTATCAGGTAGTCTGTACCTATTAACAGGGTTAAGTTCAATGGCCAGTGACTTCAAGAACTTATAACATGTTTTGGTTTGGTTGCTTGCCTTTACACAAGACAACACCAGTCGAGGTAGGCGGTGGTCGAGCATACGTAACATATGTCCAAACTACCTCAGTTGATGAAGATTCATTACCTCATAAAACAGAACGAGGAGAACTGATGCGTAGTGAACTCACCCTTGGATTGACAAACAAATGTCTCGCCTACGCCACAAGTGATGCAAGCCGGGCAAAGCCAATCGAGCCTTCTAAATCTATGTCGAGATCTCGTCAGACACCAGACCATCAGTACTGATGAGACTCATAAGATAAGTGAAGTGGTCTATGCGTTTGAATACTTCATGTCCCATCACTACCTCAGGCCGTGACGCAAATCAATCCTGAAGTAACATTTTACATTTGGAGGGATAGAACCCAATACCAAACATGTTTGCATTGTTGCTTAAGATGGTCAAAACACTCTTTATTCGGAGTCTTCACTAAACAGGAATATATCATCTGTGTATTATATGTCAACAAGTGAATCTTCTGATTAAATATAAACTCCTGAAAAGTCAAACTATGAGAGTGTTTTCCCTGAAACCATGTATATGAAAAAGTTAAATAAAAATGGGAAGAGCGGGCAACCCTGACGAACCAATTCCAATCACAGTCCGCCATAAGCTGACTCGATTCGTGATGTTCGAATCGAGAGCTTGCACAATTCCAACATAATTCTTTATTACACCTTTCAATGACAGACATTGCCACAGAACCTCACGATCAACAAAACCGAACACCGCCTTAAGGTCAAGGAATACAGCTATGGTCGGACGTCGAAAACTATGTCTGTGTTTTAGAACCTTCCAAAGGATTAATATTTCGTCTATACATTTACGTCAAGGTCTGAAATCAGCCTGTTTCTCTCGGGTTCGCTCTTCCTGATACTCTAGTTAGATGTTGAAGTACTACTGAGGCTAATATTTGAGACACAATACTATTTAAACTGATTCCTCTCTGATTGTCACAAGAGGATTGTTGTCATTTATTACAGACTGGGACCATCAGTGATAGAAACCAATCAGATGGGATTAAGTCCAGTTCCCAGATTTTGGCTAAAATCTCAGTTAACCTAGCTGCAAAGACTAGGCCAATATCCTTAAAAATCTCAGCGGTTAGTCCATCGGGTCCTGCTGGTTTTCATTGCTTTAGATTACTTTTCGCCCTTTCAACCTCACCAAGAGTTGAAGGGCTTACATCAATTTGCCATTCACGTTGTTTGGATATAGTGGGCGATTGAAGTGTGACTGGAGGCCAGTTGGAATGTTTACCAAAGTATTCTGCTAATGGTTTCAATCTCCTGGATTGAAAGTGAATAATAGTCCTGTCTCTTTCCGAGAAATTTTCACTAACAGCTGGATTTTCAACATGCGTCTCCTTAATAAGTGTGAATAGTTTTCTACTGTTACCTATCGCTTCTACCTTTCCCATCTCTTATGATTCGTAACCCACCACTGCTCACGATCACTACGTAGACTTTTTATTAATCTATGTTTATGCTGCCTCTGCTCCTGATCGTGTTCAGTGTTAAATGGAATCAGTTTCCGAGGTTCTATCAGTTCTGCATACGCTGCTGATTTTTCTAATCTTTTGGTTAAAGTTACTAACAGATATTACTGCTGTTTCTACAGCTTTTCAGATATCACACCAAGCTATATCAGGATATATTTTTCACGGTTGACTAGCTCATCGTCTAGTTGTCACTGAAATATATTCCTAACTTTCTCATCACTAATTTGTACTCTTTGAGTTCTGACCTTTTCTAATCCATTCCTTCTTTGTAGCAAGGTTGTTTGAGAGAAGTACCCAGCTATCATGATATCTCAGTGGAATCACCCTAGGACCTTAAGTTTGCCACTTTTACTGTTACTGTTCTCCAACTAACTGATGGTTAATGCATATGAGTACTTGGTTTCAGGTTCGAAACACACTGTTCTGCTAGTATTAATATCTATCACACTTCGACTAACTCAAAACCAAGTAAACAAATTTGCAATTAATAAGTGTTTACTCTCATATTCATTATAACTGAATTTTTCCATGTTTCTTGTTAACTCATTACTGAAAATGTAAATTAATTCCTTTCAGTTTAAAGTTCGTTGAACAGCAACAACGTTATGAAGATGAAAGAAACTTCTTTTCTGCCGGTGGTGAACCTGTTGTGTCTTTCGGAGACGAGGTAAGAAACGTTTGTTAAGTATGTGTTATTCATACTGATGAACTATTTTATGCAAAAACGTAAATATTATTTGTCAAAAGTTGAAAGTATTGAATGTTACTGTATTCTATTTTTATGCGAAACAATAGGAATGAATGTACCTACTGTTAATTGTTAATTATATAATTAACTTTCTATAAGCATAAATTACAGTTATTATATGCGGGTTCAAACCAAAAACTCTACATCAATACGCATGGCTTGCATTAAAAGCCAATGAACGACCTCACAAACTGATTTCATATATATATCTGTTATTCCGTTGTCACTCTTTTCCTTCTCTAATCAGTATAGCACTTCGATGTGGGTGACACGGATTTAAATCATTGAGGTTCTTTGAGGATCTAAATTTTGTCAACCAATTTTTCATATTTGACTATTCCTTTGTTGTATGCTCTAATTCAGCGCTTATCAATTAGTGGTTCCATAGGGTATGCGAAGATGCTCTGATATAGATTGTATTCACTGTGTTCTGGATTGTGCATGATTGATTAGATTTTAATAAAGAGGTTTTACGAACTTAGTTAATTTTGATGTAATATTGCGTTTCTACTTACATTCAGTCTGTTAAGATCTTTTTTTACGACCCGACTACTCCTATTACGTAATATTATTCAGACACTTTGCTTCATTTGAAAAGTACCCAAAATAATAACATGGACGAATTATATTTTAAATAAAAAAGTTAGTTGGGAATCACCATTGCAGTGAGAAAAGTGTTAGTAAATTTATCTTTTATACACATATTTCTTCTAGCGCTGATTGACTAAGAAATGGGTCAATCAGCGTGCCTCAAAATCATCCTGCATGGAACATGTATTTATTCAATCTATGACCTGCTAACACAGTCCTTCTGTAAGTTTTCATACAAAGATTGGTTATTTGAAGTTTATTTTTATTTTGACATTCGTCGTTTAATGATATCAACTTAGCTATTCAGACTTTAATTAATGCATTCATATTGTACCACAATGTTCATACTGATAAAGACGACGATCTAAGAGGCACATATTAATAAAGTTGAGCATTGAAAGGGGGAATAACATTTGTAATGATTTGAAATATGAATCGATTCGCTCTCTCTTATTGAAGTCCTTCCTAATGCGAACAACGTAATGGTACACGGCATAGAGGCTTTAGCGAGCGTATTGGTGCTGTTTACCCAAGTATGTAGAAGTTTATTCGTGCTCTGAAAAAAGAACAGTCTAAGTGGATTGAGAATTGAACAGTCTATTTCAGGAGTCCAGCAATTTGTAAAGAACGTATAAGAGTGTAGCAGTACGTATCAAACTAGGAGATTACGAAGATAGATCTACACTAGTCTATCTTCATGGAATAGCACGTTATTTTTTAATTTGTCAAAAAGTTATGCTTTAGCATTCGAAACTTATTCAAACTGAAACTCGCCATATATTTCTCAGGAAAGCATCTTTCTAAATATACTCTTTCCTAGCTGTTCGAAATATATGTACGAGATAACATAACTAAGGTAATAAAAATAGTAATTTGTTACCAAATTCGATAAATTACAGTATTTACTGAAAGTAACCGCTTCATTAGACGTTTAAGAAACCACGTTTTTGATTTGTCGTAGAACAGAAAGAGAAAGAGAGATTTCACATCATTACAAATGTTATTCCCCCTTTCAATACTCACTTTTATTAATATGTGCCTTCTTGATGTAATTTTTTTAACCGAGCACTTTTGAATGGATACAGTGCTGTAATCGTTTATTCGCATATAAGAAGTTTCAATTGTGTTTGAGAATTTACAGTATGAACATGATGTCGTAGGAACTTTTGTTTCGTAATTCAAATTAATCAATTGAATTACTATTCATTCATTCATTTCGTTTTCTTTCTCTCTTTTCCTAATAGTTTAATAGTTCAAAACATTCAACTGAACAAATTATTATTATGCAACCAGAACGTAATTGTTTCCGCCAATCACAAATAGCTTGTCAAAAATCCTCTTCTCTTTCATTATCATCATCAATACATTACAATAATGAAAGCAATCATATAACCACTAATCTGTCACCAACTATTATTATCAAAGAAAATAAAGAAATAGATGCATCACTGGTGAAAAATCATTGTTCAAATCAATTCAATAATATTTCCGATGATACATTGAATGAATCGAACAGTTCCAGTATTGCTGGTCCATCATTTCTCCATACATATTTAAGAAAAACAAGAGTTAGTTGAACAAAATCTCTCTATTTTTTCGGTTGTTTTCTTTTCTAAATTCATATTTTGTTAATATGTGTGTTGTATGTTTCATGCGTTTTTATTATGATGCATGATGCATTGAATCAATACGACTTATTTCACAATTTAGAAAAATAGTTCACTATTCTGCAAGTGTCAGCTTTAGCGTTATAAATCATTATTAATATGTACGTTGTTCATATCAAGCACGACAACGATAACAACACATACAAAAAGATGAGATTCTGATTACCTTCTGCTTTCTCTGTTTAATAATTTGATGAAAGTAATATTCACTGTGTATATTCATGATAATACTTGTATCGTAAACATGTCGTATGAAGTGTTTATTCCTGTTAGTCACAGGTTAATTAAAGAATAACTTTCCAAATCAAGTATCATATTAATGTTAGTTGATTAGATCTAGTTATCACGAAATCCTGGAGCTAATTTTTCATCTAGTTAACAGTTGTCAGCTACGCTTACTTGTAATTTTAAGGAAACTGATACTTCTTGAACACCGACCACCATCATTGATCAGTCAATGCGAAATATCGTATTGATTATTAATCGAAAATAATCTAATTAATTTTCATACAAATCATTTCTTTTACAAATTTAAACAAACCAAGAACGGCAATACAAGCTAATAGGCTTATTAACTATTTGTCATTAATATAGCTTATGGATGAAATTTCCGGAGTTTTTAGTGAGAGGGTTTGACAAGTGGAGTGAACCCATGTCAAGTGTGAAACAGTTATCCATCAATAACAATAGAAGACAATTGCACATTGTCGTCGATTGATTGAATTTAGACATTAATATTAATGGATGCTGACTCAATCGTCTAGAGGTTAGGCGTTCACGCGCGAGACCTAAGGTTTTCGAGCTCGATTTCCACGTTCAGGGTCTTGGATAAGCGCTTCTGTGGTGTCCCTTACTATTCTAAAATGTCTGTCCATTTTTAGTAGTGATTCAACTTAGATCTATTCATGATTTCAATGAAATTCTATAATTTTCATAATCCCTTACTAACTACTAATATAATATTCAATTTAAAGAAATGAATTGCCATTAACCATTAAAATGTTTGCAATGAAGAAGCTAATAATTAAAGTTATAAGGTTTTTATAATTGTTAAAGGAGACTGTTACAGAATGTTTAAACTGATAAACTTTGTCATATAAGATTTATGTCGTTACACAAACAAAAGTAACACCAACGTACCTTACACAGTACAGTTTCACTAATACCGCGTGGTAATTTATTTTCCGAATTAGCAACGAATATATCAGCATGAACCAGTCCAAATAAAGTTTCGCATAGCCATACCATCTGTTTAATAGTATAAATAATTGTTTTATTGAAACTGAACTTTTCACCTATTCATATCGATTCTTTGAGTTGCATTTATAGTATGGATATACGTTTTGAATGTTGGTTAATATTGGTCAATTACTTCCTCCAAAAGTATATAAGTGAAACAGTGAATACGTTTTTATTGAGACCATCAGATTATTTGATACATTTTTTTGGTCTACTACTTCCGCAAATTCAAGCGTATCCTTTGCTCTGCATGTAGTCGTTTCTTTTGAAGTCAATCCCAGATTGTTAGCTGGCCATCAAGCCGGTTAATTAATCATGAACATTATTAGACTCGTTCGTACTCTAGGTTTATATTATGTAGTTCGTTTATACGCGGATTAGCATGCGTGAGTCGCATGGTCATTATTAACTTGTATGCACTGAAGAAAAATCAACAAAATACAATGGCTGAATTTGTATTTTGCAGATTTTAAGACTAATTAAATTGCTTTAGATTTTGTAAGGCAGTAGTAATCTTGTAATAATCTTGAGGGAACTGATCCTCTCTGGCTTTTCCTTCAATATTACAGTTACACCTTAATGATGAGTGTCAAATAGCAGGAAACCTTGGTACAGGGTTCCCTGTCGTCTACATCCAACCATCACATTACATATGAACATAATGTACGCGATGTTGAATCACATAGACCAGTGAGCACATTGCAAATTTGTCGATAGAACTCGATATGCACCAGAAAGCACTTGACACACATGTCTTTGATCACAACCCACTGATCAGTCAATTGTAAATACTTTATATTTTATACAAAATAGCAATAGTGTATTTTCATAAGTTTCTCTGACTTATTAGTAGTATCAGAATAGGTTTTGTGGAGATTTTAGAAATTTCACTGGTTGAAATCATGAGTCGATTGAAGCTAGACCACCGTGGAAAACCTGGAAGCACTGGACGACCGTTTCTTCCTAGTATGGGACTTTTCAGCAGTGCACATCCGCGATGCCGCCCCCCGCAAGATTCGAACCCAGGACCTGTCAGTCTCGCGCCGGGTGCTTAACCAACTAGACCACTGAGTCGGCCGGTATCCAGTGGTGTTAATGTCTAGCTTCAACCAATCCACGAAGTTGTGCCACCGTACACAATTGTCTTCAATGAATTCCTACCTCACAACAGACCTGGTTGAACTCGACTGGTAACGACTTCTCACTAGAACTCCATGAGTATCTTTTGAAGTCAGTCACTAGTGATCAGGTGATTATTATCAGAATGGGTTTTGTAACGATTTTAGAAAATTCACTGGTTGAAATCATGAGTCAATTGAAGCTAGACCACCATGGAAAACTTGGAAGCATTGGACGGCCGTTTCGTCCTAGTATGTTGAAAATCTTGCGATGATCATTAGTGATGCACGTAGACGTAATTTATTATTTTCAGTTGGAAATAACGAGTACAAAATCAATGATGGTTGTCAATAATAAATGTCATTTTACATTAATGTTTGTAATTGTCTTAGTTTTTTATTTGAACATGACATTACTTCACCTTTCGATGATTATTATGCAATTTTATTTGATTTATAATGTTTTTAGAATGAAGTAAATTCGACTAAAACTCTACGTGTGTCAACAAGATCTGAAACAGTACCTCAAAATAAATCAAATCAAATTTCAAACTCGATTTTATCTCCGATGGATGAACAAGATGATGCTGATGATCAAGATGATTCATCTGAAGAATCTGAATGGTCAGCTCATATCGATGTTGATATTGGCTGGTGGAGTCGGCAACGTCGTCGAAGAACTAGACGTCAAGTTAGTACAAATGATGTATTAGCTTCCAATGATACTGAACAATTGAGTTCAAACATTTTGAATCGTACCGAGATGGATCTTGATAATGATGAAACAAATGAAGATCTAACTTCTTTATATGATGTTGGAGAAGCATCTCTCTCCTCTGGTCATACAGACACAAATCAAAATGGGCCAACTACTGAAGGAAGTATCCGACGATCTTTACGTCAACAACGTCGTCTTTTAGTAAAACGAAGACTAATGCGAGAAGCTAAAAAAGCAGAAGCAAGAGCTGCTCGTGCAGAAATCGAAAAGAAATGCTCTGTTGCTCGTAGATCCAGACGTTTTCTCAATCTAACAAGTGATGATTGCAGTAGAATAGATGAAGATTCCACTAGTCGGGATACATGTATACCAGAATCTTCTAGTCGTAGTCAATCTACAGAAGCAATTACACCTATTCCCATTGATACATCTTCTAAAAGAGAACGTCTTAAACGACGTTTAATTCGTAGTCTTGATTATGCTGTGATGGTAAGTATGACAATTCATTTGAATTATTGTATTTATTAAGTTAAAAATCATTTAAATTTATTATTTACAAATGTTTATGAATTTGTTTATTTCAGTTAATCACTAATGGTATTCGGGTAATGTTTTAATTGTATCATTCATTTACTTCTTATTATTATTATGATCATCATCATTATGTTATATATTTAGTCATTAACTGATTTTCTTTACTCTGAATCTCTCATTTTTCCCATCTTCCTTTATTTTCTCTCTTTACTGTTGTTACAATATTACGATGTTTTATTCATTGAATAAAAGGTGAATATGCATGACCTCATTACATACACATCATCTGAAATAATTATTATCACTATACTTTTTATTCTTTTTCTTTTACTCACCTTATTGAATTGACTATAATGTGTTTTCATTTTATGTAAAGTCGTCTGGGAATCATCATCATTTTGGTGGAGTTCTGAGCTGGATGGTTTGGTCGTGGAGCTTTCACCGTTCTTCTGAACGACATAATCAACAGCACAAACTTCAGATAGAAGTAAAGTGTTTGAATTTCTCCATATGTGTTTCAAAGCTTGTTCTGTACACCTCGATGTTGATTGGTTCTTATTGACCTTAAATTTGTCATTGTTTACTTCTTTGTTTTTGGTTGTGTCTCCTAATGGGAGGAGTGCACTGAACAAGTTGTGAAACACATATGGAACAATTCGAACACTTCACTTCTATCTGAAGTTTGTGCTGATGATGATGTCGTTCAGAAGAACGCTGAAAGCTCCACGACAAAACCATCCAGCTCAGAGAACAAAACTCCACCAAAATCATCCAACTGAGCTACAAATCTTTTCCACCATCTCATCATCGTCATCATCTTTATCCTTACATGCGTAAATCTTTGTAATGGATTCATTGGTTGCTTGATTGACTGATTGATTCATTCATTCATACACTGTGTTTCATGTTTGTTTCGGTTGAAAGTGTTTTGTAAACTGAGATTGTTAATTTTAGTCACGGTATTTCAATCATGAATTGGTCTATTTTAATTTTTTACCCATATAACTAAGTGTTTCACATTTAAAATATGAATGATTATGATAGAAGACATTTATTGATGTAACGACGTCTGGGTAACGTTGAAAAATTTACAATGAACAAAATTGATAACACCCCCCTTATTACATATTATATTCACACAACAATATTATTATTATTATCTCAGTTGACAAAATTATTTTCAATTTTGCAATAGTACTATTACATTATCTTATTGTGACTGAACAGTTTACTGACCTTTATTGAATGACTTTTCTAATTTGCAAATATTACAATTTTTTGAAGTATATAGATATATCGTTACATATGCAAACGTTTACCATTTTTAACACATAACATTGTCAAACTCATTAAAACATGCCTTATTTTTGGCCTTTGTAAAATATTATAATTATGGACTTATAACTGTAGAGCCAGATGATGAAGTTGTTGAAAACAATTGTTCGCTCAAATATTCTTCATTTTTAAAAAATATCTGACGAAGAGTAGTTTGTTATTTAAGCTGGAAATCCCACAATCTTCACAAATCCCTCTATACGGATTTTAACAATTTACTAACTTGTGACTGTCTTCAAGATACGACACCCGGAGCTCTAGTTAGATACTGTAGCCGAAGGAGTACAAGGATGCCAAATTTGAGGCAGTTTTCCAAGATAGACACTTTATTGGGTTTTGTGGAATGTCGTGAATTGATTGAAATTTTACACGCAAACTAGTGGTTAAGTGCTTACGCACCAGATCGGAGGTACTGTGTTCGATTTCTGGATGCACGGTCGTGGGATCGTAACACTGAGAAAGTTCATTGTAGAACGCAACATGTGTTCAGTGCTTCTTGGTTCTCGTTAGCCCATCTAACTAAAATCAATTTGTGTTTTAAGTTATGAAAATTCTACAATATTCATAAATTCCCTCATACTAATAAAATTTTTTATGTTCATGCAACCATAGAAATTTGAATTCGAAAATCAATGTACTTCTACATAACTTTCTGAAGTTGTAAATCGTCATTGGAAGTATTCATTATTATTTTCACTGACTTGTCTAATACCATCAACTAAATAAATTGTTTCATCAAAAAGTTAATTCAAATTTTGATTTTTAATGTACACCAATCAGATTCTCTCGTTTACCACTTAACCTTGTATTGATATATGTGAATACTTACTTCCTTACGCCTGTTACTCCCAATGGAACATTGGCCTGTTTATCATTTTGAAAAGAGCGAGAATAAAGATTCTTGTAGAATAGCACTAATTCATTTTATTTCGTCTATCATTCTTCAGCTGTTTACAACCTGTGATGTTTAAAAAGACACCATTATCAAATGAGTTTACATTACTTATATGAAACAATTTAGTTAGAAGTTATATAAAAGACACATTATTATTGTCAGTATAGGGGTTGTGGAGATTGTTGAGATCATGAACCGATTGATGTTATACCACCATTGAAAACCTGGAAGCACTGGACGGCCGTCTCATCCTATTGTGGGACTAGCTTCGTGAGGAAATTCCTGAAGTTCTGGTGAGAAGCCGTGACTAGTGGAGCTAATCTGTGTCGGGTAGAAGCAGGTGTCTACTTCAGTACAATGGATGATGGTTGCGCAACTTCGCGGATTGGTTGAGGTTAGACATTAAAACCATTGGATGCCGGTTCAGTTATCCGGTAGGTTAGGCGTTCGCGCGCGAGACTGGAGGCCCTAGGTTCAAATCCTGCGAACGGGATCGTGGATGTGCACTGCTGAGGAGTTTCACAATTGTGCGAAACGGCCGTCCAGTGCTTCCAGGTTTCCAATAGTGGTCTAACATCGATCGGTTTATGATCTCAATCTAAAACGTAATCATCTCCACAACCCTTATACTGATGATTTGATAATTGTTTGTTTCTTTATAATGCTTATTTGTTTTTTTTTTGTGTTATCGGTAATTTTCATGAGTGAGTATTTTCATTTTAGACTTGCAGTAGATTACCGTTAACTCGAATACCGTTAGATTGTTATCTATCTCCTGAATGTGAAGGTTACGAAGAAGAATTAAATAAAAATGACTTCATTCTTCCAAATACTGATGTTAATCATTGGGATGGTCCTTATTTTGATTGGTTATCTACTGTTCGACCATCAGCTTCCCCTTATCTACCTCAAACTGGAGATCGCGTCGTCTATTTATATCGTGGTCATCAAGATTATTTATCAAAAGCTTGGGAATGTGGCAATCTACCATTAATGGGTAATTTAGATCAACAAAAAACAAATTCTCCATCTTCCTTACCTTGGATTACTTGGCCTGATTTACCGGTAAGTTTTATGTTTGTTATGACTTGTGACGTCAATGGATATCATGTGGAGAATTCATCAATCACAATCCCGATTATTATTTTCTTTTGTTGTGCCTACTATTCCATCTTTAGTGTAGCGTCCTAGACCTATCTAATTATGCGTTCTGACCTACACAATTAAGTTTAAACCAACGTCAACCACAACCCTATTTGTCACCTATCCTCAAGCCTTTCTCTATCCCGAGCTCCGAATCCAAAAAGAATTCGCATGCTAATTTCCTATTATTATTATCATCATTATTAATATATCAGACTTCAAATATACTTCTCTCTCTCATGTATACTACGATAATACGTTAATACAATCATGAGACTAGTCACGTTATATCAGAACCAGGGATTCATAACCCAAAGTGGGGAACCAGAATAACATTAGATAATATTTTATTCAATGCAATTACAAGCAGTTACACTCAGTGAGTTCGGGGTACAAATCCATAGAAGAAAAGAAAATCACATATATAATGGTCAGTAGGCTAAGCGCTTGTTTTTCCGTGCCCAACGACCAATCGTATTTTACTTTCACTATCACATATCGATTATCACTCAGTCTAGTCAACACAGCACAGCTAACATCATTCTCAAACACTCATTATTAACTTGTACAGTACATAATTAATTGGCAATAATTAAGGAATTGTGTAATACATAATAATAGTGATTATCACAACCAATAGTTGAATACCTTCGACATCGTTCATGATAAAGCATCCATTCTTTGTCTCCCCTCAATTCCTGAGATTTGAAATTCCTCTTGACTTTTTCTCACTAATTTATATTTTCTTCTTGAATCGTATCTCCAATGCCTAATGATTCCTATGATCACTGATTCTGTTACTACCTCTACTATTATGGGTTTCGGTCTGACAAACTCATTTCTGTACTAATGGGGGTATTGCCAATTTAAACCAATGTACAAATATACCAGATTCTACATTTCGTTTAACTGACTGACTGACTGACCAAATATTTACCAGTTTTTCTGAATTGGTGGTTTTATCGGTTAAATTGTTAATATTTTACTGGTTAATTTAAACGTCCAAACTCTATTACTATCCCTATCACAAATTGTACCACCTTAAAGCTGAGTATATAAATCGGTACTTTATAAATGTTTTACATAATTCATGCATTTAATGATGAATAGTCCTAACCGTGATTACGATTCCATCAAATATTATGTTTTGATATTCACATCATACAATTTTTATTATTTTTAAAAACATTCTTAAAATTACTTTCATCAGTTTAAAAAGCAAAGACATCCTTGAACGTGAAATGATGTCATTTTCCTATTGGTCAATATTCACGGTACTCCTAACAGTATAAATACGCATTTATCTGTAAAGTATTATTCTTATTCTTCTCCTGATCCCATAAACAATTTTCATCTACAGTTCGTGTTCTGATATATTGGAGATTGGGGAACAGTATTGGGGTTGTACTGGGATATCTGAAGTTGATCAGTACTAATAGTAGAACTACGTTTAGAAAATGAGTCTACTCAATAAAAAAATTCATTACTAATTGATTGATGTAATTATTCGATTGTTTTTTTCTTTTATACTTCTAGCAATTTCTATGTTGTTCAGTGCAAAAAATCACTTATCATATTGTACGTATAGCTGGTAATTATTATCATCCATCAAATGTTTCACGTTCATCATCATCATCTATTTCATCATCAGCTGTACATTTAAAGAAAAGAACTAGAAAATATTTAAATACTAAACTTTTAAGACAATCAAAACAATTAATTAATTTGAAAGATCTAAAATTATCTTATCATAAAGAATATAAATCAACTAATCTAGCTTCTACTTCTTCCTTTTCTAATACTACCACAATGTCTTCATCATCATACAATAATGATTATCCTATTGCATCGACTAGTCTCAGCTATGGTAATGCTTATTCTTCATCATTATCATCAGATGATGGAGATAGTTTTGTTCGACTTATCACTTTACAGTTACAAATTGAAGAGAATCAACCTTATAGAAAATTATCATGTGGAAAAATCAATACTGAACATTCTAAACATTGTTATGATGAGAAACAACAATATCCCTCGAATACTATTCATGTTACTTATCATGATGTAGATGGAATCTTAGAATTTATTATACTTCGACGAATATTTGATGCATCATTAAAACAGGAATGGAAACCAGGTTAGTGTTAAATCTTATATATTCTAATTTGTTTGTAATATAGTATTTTGAAAATAACAAAAAAAAGTAATTGTTGGCTTATGTTAAGCTGTTAAATTAGAGACGTTCATTTAAGATTCGAATCCAACACCTTTTTTCTTTAAATGTTTAATGCGTTATCCGTTAATCTGTGTTGAGTTTAGAGATCCAATAACTCATTGAATGAGTATCATATGTTGTTATTGGTAAAGGTTTAAATTATCCCATTTATTCGATATTCAAGACGGAATTTCGAACAATCTTTATTGCATTATGGGCATCCAGTGTGGATTGTGTTGATATCGAAAAAATAACTGCGAAATAATTTTTTATTAGAATAATAATTTAACTTACATCATTCTTCATTCCTTTACTATTCTATGGATCTGTTATCTCTGGTTAGTGTATGACATGGTGTCGTGATATGAAAGAAAGCTACAAAGGTCTGGCTTGTGTTGTTCCTTCAAGACTCCCTGGCTGGGGTCCTAAAGATGGTGCGACACAGTGGCTAGAGACATTATGAGATATGGCTCAGAATAGAAGCCACTGTCGATCCTGCTGTAACCTTCTTTTACTTTCTTCATAAAAAGTGGTTGTGTCTTCCTTAACTGAAAGATTTCTTCTGATTGTACCTTTTCGTTTCCCCTATTATTATTATTATTATTATTATTATTATTATTATTATTATTATTACACTACCTTACATTAATCTGTGGTCGTTATTGTTCTTTTTTTTTCTTATACACTCCTTATCTTCTTTTTTCCCTTCCCATTCTCATTGCTTTTTGTGGCGCATATATATTTGATGCCCCCTTGTACCAATTTTTATGTGTTCAAATAAATAAATAGATAATAAATGGAATAAAATATCATATGAGAAAACAAATCAAATACTACACGGAATGATCATCACATTGACTCAGAATGAAAGTAACTTTGAACAAAACTCATAATTAGTAAATCAATCGGAAATTGGCTTTTCTTTCCATCATATCATCATGGTCTTCTGTTGAATTCTGAACATGATTGAACTCCATAAGTATTTTCAAATAGAACAAAATCATTGTTTACTGGTTTACTGTAAGTTTTATCTGTATTATTTGGCCTCACAATGTTCTTTAACCGCCGAGGGTGGCGACGCGTATATAGCCACTGCCAGGGAAGTCTTATTCGTTGCCTTCTTGTGGTTGGGTGTTTTTTTACGAAATTTTGATGACGAATGTTCACTGGTTAAACCGAGTTTTTGGGTATGGTGCATCCGTTGGGAAAAACTAGTTTCAAAACATTAGTGCACATGCGCCTATTGATCCATAGGGAACAAATGGCGTATGAACCTATTGTTGGTCACCGAGTACAATCAGACTGTATATCCTAACGTTGATCACTGGATTGTGGATTAGACGTGTACGTGAAAGTATGGAGGGGTGGTCTTATGAGAAAATCACTTGTTTCATTTTTAGCACCCTGATAGTATCTCAGACACAAAAATTCACTGTACGGAGTGTATATATATGTATATTCCTTTTCGTACCATTTTTGATTTATTTATTTTTAATAAGATATATAAACAATATCATTTATTCATTTATATTAGGTGATATGTTTATATGCCCTGTTGGTGGTGATTCGTGGTGGCGTGGTCTTGTAATTCGAAATCTTTCAGACGATGATTTATCAACATTACAACCTAGCACTTCCCTAGTAGAAATTAATAATGCAATGCATTCTTTAAACACTACATATTTAGTTCGTTGGTTGGATGAGAATGAACCATGCTATGATGGTATTACTGGTAGTGGTAATGATATCACAATCAACGATAACTATTCACATAATTTATTAGCTTTATCAGAAACTAACCATACTGGATCACTAAATAAATTACCAGATAATATTGATCATGTTAATTCATGGGATATGTATAAATGGTATGCAGAATCTGTTGATATTGATAACCGGTCAAATAATGCAACAGACTCAGGTTAGTGCCTTTTTTCTTCTTTTGTACTTATTTTTATTTATTTATTTTAACACATAGATATTGGTACAAGGAGGCACTAAATACATATGCGCCACACAAATCTCATTCGATATGTGTGAGGGCTGTGATACTGCCCGGTTGCCCAAACCGCCTCGTTATTGTTCCTATTTCTTTTGTACTGGATGTCATTTGTTCATTCGATCTTTATTTATTGCATAACATGACAGTAATTTTCTTTCTGTCTCCCTTTTTGGCTAACCTGAGTTATTTTAGTTACCCTTTGTGCTCATTATCTCTACTTTCATTTGAACTGTATCATCTTTCCCTTATCAATAATTCTAACGATTATTAATCAGCACTCAAGATTAGTATATAGTTGATATTGAGACAGTTCAAAGGTTGTGAAATTAAAGATTTTTTGTATTGTAAAAAAGAAAATTGAAAAAAAGAATAATGTAAACAGTTGGCTCCTTTTGTATTTTCTCTTTTATTGAAATTTCAATTATTTCAGTTTGTATCAACCTTACTTACTTACACCTGTTACTCCTCGTGAAGGAGCATAGGCCGCTCATCATCATTCTCCATCCAACCCTGTCCTGGGCAATCCGTTCCAGCTCCTTCCAGTTCCTATTCATCCTTTTCATATCTGCTTCTTTTTCCCAACCTCTACACATTAAATAGTGTATTCCTAGTTTATTTGTCTTTTTTACATGATCTTTGACTTGACCTACTCAAATGTTAAACAAAAGTCTGGGAATTCAAGTTATATCGAAAAAATTAAGTTGGATACTAGTAAATATGATGAGTTGAATACTATATTTTTTTCAAAAGTTTTCAAAAAAAGCGCTAATTGAACAATAATATTCTCTTTTCATTTCACCTGGATGCTAAGAGGTATTTTCAAACGGTAACTATGAGATGGTAGAGAAGATTTGTAGCTCAGATGGGTGGTTTTGATGGGGTTTTATTATCTGAGCTGAATGGTTTGGTCCTAGAGCTTTTATCGTTATTCTGAACGGCATCGTCAGCACAAACTTCATTCAGATAACAGTGAACTGACAATGAGCCATATGTGAAGAAATTCAAACACTTCATATCTATTTGAAGTTTGTGCTGATGATATCGTTTAGAAGAACGATAAAAGCTCCACGATCAAGCTATGTAGCTCAGACAACAAAACTCCATCAAAAAACAGTAACTGTAGGTGGTACTCTAGACGTTTTGGGTACCTGTGTGGCTTCACCACACTTTGCTGTTTAGATTGTTATGTGCTTGAATTGTATCTAGTTCTCTTAAACATCAATATATGATTATCCCCTTGTTGGATATATTTATAATTGTAAAAGAGAAGTCGTCACTTAATGGTTAACGTTATTCAACTTTGAATCACTAAGTCACGGTCCTGGATAACTGGGTAGAAGTACCACCAGGTTTCGAACTTACAGTGTAACTCAATCTAAACTACACGTATGTACACCTATTGAATGAGTTCATTTAAGTAAATCTTAAAATTTCATTTTATATATATACTTCCTTTACGAACATTTCCTCATGTATCATACCAACTTTTATTTTTTCAGAATTTACATTATATGGTGGTTTAGTTGATGGTTATGTACATATTTCTCATGAACAAATATGTTTATTATATGGTACTTCGAAATTTTGGGATATAACTAATCATTCAACTGCCTATCTTGCAGAAATTAAACGTCTCGTTGAGTGCATAACTCAGGTAATTATTTTCATTCATTCTTGTTACATTTTAAATCCTGAAATGATATTAGCTAGATCACTAGTGAGAACATGTGAGCACTGAACGACCGTTTCGTCTTAGAATGAGCCTCCTTAACAGCGCGGATCCTTGACGCTGGATCCGTGTATCGAACCTGGCACTTTCAATCTCACGAATGAACGCTTAACTTATAGATACTGAGCGTGCATCCTTTGGTGTGAATGGCCAACTTTAATTAATTCACAATATTTCACAACCCTGGTCTACCACCTGCGGTCAATAACTCACACTCAATATTATTTAGCTACACTAGTTACGTTTTCTCACTAGAGCTTCAGAAGTCGCATCTTGAGGCGCGAGACCGAAAGTTCTGGATTTTGATTCTTGAGTTCGAAATTGGAAGTCTGCACTGTCAAAGGGTTTCATACTAGATCGAAGCAGTTGTTCAGTGCTTCTAGGTTTCCATCGGTAGTTTTAATAAGATCAATCAACCAGATTCGTTTTTGGTAATATTCTAGCCACCTGTCATCACACTATAATCTGTGACATTCGTTATCCTTTAGTGCACATTACCTGTTAAGACCATGAACGTGATTGTGATATCAAACTTGTAATCTTTAGTTTGATTGAGAATTCTATCTCCATTCGTATAAAATTGTAGTATGAATTATAAAATCTTCCACATACCAAAATGTATAACCATTTTTCCCGGAAGATAATCTATTTGTTGAGTTTGAAATTTGTTCAACATTTATGTACATACTTCTCCTCCTGGGAATTTGACCATTTACTGCTTGTTGACTATGCCAGATTACTTTATCCAGGAATATGTTGTTAAGTAACGAGAAAATTTTTATTACATTTTATGATTACGATTTCACTGAACAAACTTTCTTTTCCTACATTCATCAACTTGGAGACGTCTGTGTTAGTGATAGGCTTGTTGATTCTCGATTGTGTGTTATGTACACATGTCATGTTGTTTACATGCAAGCTAGGTGTTAACATTTCTTCAGTTTGCGAAATTGAAATGAATAGAAGAATTCAGAAGATGATATAAACATCAGATATCGTAAATGAGATTAATGCATACATACTCCTTGAAATTATACTTATATAAATTAAATATGCAGAAGTTATATCGGTAAAAGAATAATATAATAACGGCTTTAAGGTGGTCAATTATAATTAAAATAAAGCCTCATGTATTTCGTGCAAAATTTAAAGTAGATAACTTGTATGTTTATATAAATGAAGTAAAAATTAGCAATGCTTGGTCCTTAATTGAAATTACATAAATGCTCTGAAGGTACATTTTATTTATTTATTTGAACATATAAATATTGATACAGAGGCATGGCATACATGTGCGCCACACAAGTCACTTGATTTGTGTATGGGCTGTGATACTGCCCGGGTTCCCAAACCGAAGCAGGTGGTCTTCTTAAAGGACCACGCCTGGAACCTTCGACCCAAAGGTCTGATCCATAAGACAATGGAGCAAAGTTAGGGGATGCAGTCCCATGATAACCGGTGACCAATAATTGGTTCATACGCCGTTTGTTCCCGCAGGATCCTATAGCCCATGTGCATCATTAGTTTGTAATCAGAGTTTTCCAACTCCACCAACCCGATTAAAGCACCAGACATTCGCTTTTCGTCCTCTCGATTTCGTGAACAACACCCGCGCGGCGAGAAAGCAATGAGTAGGACTCCCCTGGAAGTGGCTGTACACGCGTGACCATGTGAAAGCATTTGGAGAGGGGGAACGGACTCTCTCCACCCTCGGCCGTACCAGAGTGTTTGAGAGCAGATTTTATGCTAAAGCACTTGGTGTGGTTCATTGTAAAACTCAATTCAATGTTTCTTAGATTTGTGAAAAGAAAAATGATAAGGCAATTGCACCATAACAGCTGGTATCAGTTCATGTTGGAAATACTAACTCTAATTTGTATACCTAACTGAAAACTTCAGTTTAATTCTTAATACCTCATCCCGTCCCTATTATTGTATGTAAGTTGTATAATGTCTCAATATATTTCTATTTTCAGAATAAAAACGGTAATAATGGTAATTATATTATTATGCTATTCTATTTTCCCAATGTAAACAGTCTTATTTTTTAAATTCACTTAGTATTCTTTGTTTGAATCTTCCCATTGACATTATATGCGAACATAGATAGTGGCTAGCAGTGGTATCCAGGACGCGTGTTTCGTCCTATTTGGGACTCGTCAGCTGGATGTTTGCACATATGCCAATAAGAGACTGATCAATTACAGTTCTAAATATTAATAAGAAGATTCAAACAAGCAATACCCAGTGAATTTAAACTTTCATCCCATTTCACAAGCAAGTGACTATCAAAACTCAATAGCGAAGTAGATAACGTAATAGCATTTGAAGCAAACGGTACTGGGTTCGAGTCCCAGGATGAACATCCAGCTGATGAGTCCGAAATACGACGAATTGTGCATCAAACTGGATTCCACTGCATCTAATCTTTAATCATTTTTGTCATTGTAAAACTTTTTTTGTTTGTTTTAACTACTGACTAATTTTATTTTATTATTATTCTTTTCTTTTCTTAACTTACAGATTATGCAATTAGATATAAGTGAACAATTTATTAATCCAGTTGATTTAGCTGCTTATCCTGATTATTTATTTATTAATGTTTATCCAGTTGATTTAAATTTTATATTAAATCGTTTATTAAATGGTTTCTATCGTCAATCTATATCAATTCAATCAGATTTTTTACAATTACTTGAAAATACTAAACGTTATAATTTACCAGGATCATCAATTGTTAAAAATGCTCAATTCGTTTATGAATTAGGCTTGTATTGTATAGAAAATAAAGTGACATGTGTAAGTTTTTTTTCTCATTTTTTTTTCTTTTCAATGTTCCATTTTCTCTACATTATTTGTATCATATTTTAGTTTAGAATTGCAATGAGACTATCAATCTATGAACGACCTTTACTTACTTACTTACGCCTGTTACTCCCAATGGAGCATAGGCCGCCGACCAGCATTCTCAAACCCACTCTGTCCTGGGCCTCCTTTTCTAATTCCATCCAATTCTTGTTCATCTTTTTCATATCTATTTCCATTTCTCGGCGTAATGTGTTTTTTGGTCTTCCTCTTTTCCTTGGGCCTTGAGGATTCCATGTGAGTGCTCGTCTTGTGACGCAGTTGGGTGCTTTCCTCAATGGGTGTCCTATCCACTTCCAGCGCTTCTTTCTGATTTCTTCCTCCGCTGGCATCTGGTTTGTTCTCTCCCACAGTACGTTGTTGCTAATAGTGTCCGGCCAACGGATCTGAAGTATTTTGCGTAGACAACTGTTAATAAACACCTGTATCTTCTGGATGATGGCTTTCGTAGTTCTCCAGGTTTCCGCCCCATACAGTAGAACTGTCTTGACATTTGTATTGAAAATCCTGACCTTGGTGTTGGTTGACAGTTGCTTTGAGTTCCAGATGTTCCTCAATTGTAAATACGCTGCTCTTGCTTTGCCGATCCACGCCTTCACATCTGCATCAGATCCACCCTGTTCATCAATGATGCTGCCCAAATATGTAAAGGTTTTTACATCTTCCAAATCTTCTCCGTCAATTGTGATTGGATTGGTGCATGCTGTGTTGTATCGGAGAACCTCGCTCTTCCCTTTGTGTATATTGAGACCTACTGCTGCTGAGGTTGCTGCTACACTGTTCGTCTTCTCCTGCATTTGTTGTTGCGTTTGGGATAGAAGGGCCAGATCATCTGCGAAGTCTAGATCGTCCAACTGCGTCCTAGATGTCCATTGTATCCCGTTCTTCCCTTCAGATGTTGACGTCTTCATGATCCAGTCGATCACCAGAGGAGAGAGAAAGGGTGAGAGTAAGCAACCTTGTCTGACACTGGTCTTTATTTCGAACGACTTTGTCAACTGTCCTCCATGCACGATTTTGCAGTGTAATCCATCATATGAACTCTGTATGATATTGACTATCTTTTGAGGCACGCCATAGTGTCGAAGAAGCTTCCATAGTGTTGTCCTGTCCACGCTATCAAAATTTTGAACGACCTTTAAGCGATCTTAAAATGATATTGAAAGTGTCTATCTCAATAACTAGTACTGAATGAAGGTTATAAACCAATGTGAGGAATTCGAATTAATATTTACAATTGATAGTTAGTGTTATAACTTTATGTTCGGTTTTTATCACGTCATCTATTTACCAATCAAAATACAACTTATACAATCTTAGCACTATGCCAAACCAATGACAACCGACCGGTATGAACAGCCTAGCGTCCTTATTGGTCCTGTGTCCGCCTAGCCCGTCCACTTGAGTCCAGAACACCAATACTAGCTTCTGCAATAGGAATCATTTATTTCAAACATACTCGGTTTTATATATCAACCAGGCAGACCACAACGTACCATAAAATAGGAAATAACATCTGTAAAATATTTAGCCAAATGTGGCTGTGATCGTGGGAGGCAGTATTCAATAAACCGAACATAGCTTAAGAACATTAAGTCGTACAATAATAAATTATAGTTCAAAATAAAGCTTATAATAAAAGGAATATAAATATACATCATCTAATTATTGAATAGATACACCACAAGAATATATAGAAAATATTAGTCAATAAATATGTCTCAGGAGTTACTCGTGATTTAATCTTTGCTCAGATATAACAGTTAGGTTTTTCATTACAAACTGACATCAGCTATAATGCCAAAACTCTATTTTAGCCGAATGGATGGGTGAATTTCGTGCCAAAATCCGAGACCTGTTATCTTATACGTGATTGGTTCGTTCACAAATTATAGTCTCACCACAATTGCTTCTAAACACATTTCGCATGAATTACAGTTAGATTTATACATTATATTCAACCTTTGAACAAACTATTGTTGATATACATACGATCAATGTTATGTACGATCGTGTTAATTTATTAAAGAATGATTGATTGATAGGTTGAGTTTTTCAATCTAACGTTATTAGATCGAATCTTATTAGTGTTATTAGTCAATAGTCGGTGATTTTAAACAATATGACTTAGTACTAGAAAGTTTTCACGCAGTGCTGACTAGTTTTGGAGATGGTTGGAAGAATGTTAGCTGCTGCCAAACCAAAACGTGACATCAGTGGTTGAAGTCATTAACTTCGAATCTGAGCTATGTTTGTAGATGCAGAGTACTTGGTTGGGGTCCATATGACTATTGTAACCAATGATTGGAGACTGCGTGTCATGACCCATAATCGATCACAATGGCGTAGGTGTATGCATACTGTATTTTTAAAAAAAAGTGAGATTAAAATCGCTTCATATCTTTTTTTCTACCAACTAATTCTTTCTTCCGCGAATTTGACCATAAAGGAAGATTGTTACATAATTAAATTGTGAAAAATTTGCGTATGGACTGTAAGTCTGGTGGCTAGAGCGTGCTAACGATTTGTTACCGGCAGTTACTTCTGGTAACTGCTGTAAACTCTTTCAACTCATCCGAGTCACTGATAGCAAAAGGTTTGGTGCGAGTGAGACTATCTGTGATGATGGGATGCCAATTTCTTAGTCAGTTGGCAGTCAATGTCCATAGGCATGGCATATGCTGTGCAAGGTGTTTCTACAAGACTAGAAGCACCCTAAACCTACACTAACTCTAGGTGGTGAGCAGATAGATGTAGTCGAGAAGTTCGTGCATCTGGGTAGTTACGAAAATGCTGATAGTGGCGTGAGTGATGAGATCAATTCACATATAGTGAAAGTCAGAGCGGCCTTTGCCAATCTGGACCATCTTTGGCACCTTCGTGATGTTAGTCTGACTGTAAAACTTGTATATACAACGCGTCAGTGAGAGCAGTTTTGCTCTATGCTTATGAAACCTGATCTCTTCGAATTGAGAATTTTAGACAGCTCTCTGTGTTTGATCATGGTTGTCTTGATGCTACTGATGAACTACCAAGCATTATTAAACAAAATACTCTTATATCTTGTTTTGTGTAAACGGGTTTAACGATAGATATAGACTGAACACGGAAACCTTATTTTTATTTAGAAAGGTGGACAGGTATTTCCCATCTTATGAGTCGTTATTTTACATTGGCCGGCACTCACCTACCATAAACTGAAATTAAGCAATCAAATAAAAACTTCACCTTCCTCGTTTTTGATAACTGATTAGTACTATTATTTCCGTCGTGCTTGAATAGAATTTAACCAAATCGACTTGTTGAATAACCTTCTATTCATTGTGTTCAGTAAAATTAACAAAAAAACATAACAGATTGATCAATTACATTCCTAACGCATTAGTGCGAAAATTCAAACAACAAACGCAAATGAATTGAAATGCACCCAATTAAACAAGGCAGCGATTATCTGAATTCAGTAGCTAAGTGGATAATGGGATGACGTTTGAAGCAAATGGTAATGGGTTCGAGTACCAAAATGAACATCGACCCTGGGATGCAGGCATATCCATCTGATGAATCCCTGCTAGGGTAAAACTCACATCCTGGTTTCTACCGCTAGCCACCAACCAGCTGTGCTTGTAGGAAATAACTATATATGATCAGTTAACTGTTCTGGTGCTTTTCACCTCTTAAATAAATTGTAATGTGATACATATATACTGATTCAATTTATCGTAATTTTTTATCTCTTTGAAATAGGATGAAGTTTTACGCCGATATAAGCTTCTCACTTCTACCAATATACCTTCTCCAAATTTGGAGAACAGTGGTCAAATCACTGCAACAACTTCATCGAATTCATTTAATGATAGTCTAACTGTTGAAAAGCGTACTCGAACCAAGCCATGTCATATTGATAGAAAGGAAAAAATTGTAAATAAATGTTATTCTTCTAAGCAAAGGAAAGAGATTCACCAACGAAGGTCATTAAGACTGAACCAATCACTATCAAAACGTTCATATGGTGTGTATCTTAATGATAATGATGATGATGTGAGTAATAATTCAACCAAATTCAATAAACATCAAAGACATTTTCAAATGGGAGGAAGAATATCTACAAGAAAGAAAATGTTGACAAATAATAGTTCAGTTACTTGTGGTTCTTCATGGATTTCTGATGCTTTGAATCTTATCCAAGAACTGTTGAATCATCGTAGAAGTTTTTACTTTCGTGTACCAATTGATCCTTTAGAATATCCAGATTATCATAGTATCATTGAACGTCCAATGGATTTATCTACTATTCAAAAGAAACTCATAAATACTCAATCAAGTTTGCATTCATCATCATCATCACCACCAACAACAAAATATCATATTCGTAGTCGTATCCAACAAGAATATAATCCTAGCGATTTGTTATTTGATTTAAATTTGATAGTAACTAATGCAAAATTGTATAATACTGATCCTGATACTCAAGTGTTTGATGATACTTTATGGTTGGAAAATTGGGTTAATGATGTAATGACACCTAGTTTGTTACGATTTATTGAATGCTTTGATAATTATGATACGTCTTCTTGTACGAAAATCAAATTAGAGGCAATTTCTCATCAAGACATGAAACATGTCAGTCATTCTAGACGGCGTTCATGTTCAACACGATCTGGTAATACTTCTAATGATGAAAAGAGCTACATAATAAATGATGGAACATCATCGTTATCACCACCAGGTTTGTCTTATACGTGTTAGTGTTTGGAAACAAAGTTTGTTTCTCTTTTTATTTTCGCCTTATGTTACCTGTTGATTGGTTTATTCAACTGAATTAATAAATATCAGTCAAGTAAACTTCTACATCGGAGTATTTTCCAAAAAAGATACGATGATATCTCTAAATTATTCAAAAGTTATAGTTTTAACCAATAGCATTAAGTAGGATATCCTTAAGTTACTAGTAATCCATTATAGATGTCTTCGAAACATTTCCCTCGTATATTTGACTCATTGGTTTACAGTAATACCGATATTAAATGTCGGGTACTAGGTGAATATGAGAAATCAGTTGATGAAATAGTGGATCTTCAGCCACTGAGATAATTGAGTAATGTATTACGTAGGATCAACCATTACGTACTTTGGCAGATGTTGTTTTCTACTATAGGAAAGGAAGAAATCTAAACTGGAACAAATCAAGATGTGTTATCAGTCAGTAAAGTCACTGAATGTTGATAAGTCAAAACTAAGATGTTAGCGTCGGCACGTTTATTGTAATTAATCTTTGAAGATGTTTTTGACGTGACTCAAAATCAGTTACAATGACTCAGGCTCATTTCACGCTTTGTTGTTTCTTATATTCTAAGTTTTTAAATTACTTTTTTTAGTTTTTCTAATTTATATTTTCTTGACTAGTATCCTCGATAATTAATCTTTCTATTAGCACTAATACTACTGCCTCTGCAATTCTGTGATTTGTCTTGATAATTTTATCTTGTATAGTAACTTCAACTGATATACTTATATCTCAAGTTTTACGTTGCGTATAACTGATTGAATTAACATGATTCTCTTTTATTTTAACTACTGCATGTCTGAACTTATCCACATCACAATATTATTGTCCATATAAAGACTAGAATTCTGAGGTGAGTTTTGTACAAATACCAAATAGTTATTCATAAAATACTGTGCTAATGGTTATATCCTTTCAGTATCAACTACTCTCTGATTTGCAATGTTGCTGATACAAAACATGAACGTTTACCACAATGAAATAAGTTTTATTACTTAACGTGACTTATGTCAAAGAGGATATTTTATAAAATAGATTTAATGTGGGTAGCGTTGGAATCCAGAACGCGTGTCCCATTCTATTTGGGACTCGTCACTTGAATACACCTGCATCTCAGAGTTGATTTTTATTTCAGGACTAACTCAAACTGTGTACAGTTCGCTTCAAACGCCATCTCGTTATTCATTTAGCTACTGAGTTAAAACAGCTACTCACTTGTACGACAAATATGAGTTTTAACTTGAAATGGATTGAACTATTCCATTGTTGATTTTTTTTTGTGACTGAAATTCGATCAATCATGGGTGAAACATGCATGGTAGATTCCACTGTTAGCCACACTCCATCTATGCTATTTTGTATCGTAAATGGCTATATTGATGCATTCCTCATAGCATTTAAATATGCCAACTACGAATCATCAAATTTCCGTCAAAATATCAACTGTAGGATAATCCAGTTGAACTAGAGAGGTGATTGGTTTTATTTGTATTGATTTTTACAACTAGTGTAGTACATGTATAAAATATAAATAAAAATACTTATGAGAAAATTTCATTTTCATTACTTTTTAAATTCTTACTTAGCTTGTATTAACACTGCAACATCTTCGATGACATCTTTCACAACAGTACGTACTTCTAGTGGTCGGGTTGTTAGACCTCCACCTCGTGGTTCACAAGATCTATGCCGATCTTTTTCCGAAGATTATGATCAAAAATATAATTGTTCATTTGAGCAAAAACAATCTCATCAAAGAAGAAGAAAACTGACTTCATATTCTTCAGGGAATAATACACATTCTGTAAATAAATTATATTCCAGACATAAAAACAAGAGACGTCGTCGTATTACAAATCAGTCGAAATCAATAAGAATGTCGAATTCTTCAGATCTATCGAATACATCTCTTCGTCGTAGTGCACGTAAAAGAAAAATTGTTTCTAGTTTTAGTCACTTTTATGGATCAGAAGGAAATGATGAATTCGACTAATTTAATTGATTATAAATTTTAATCATGTAAAATGATAATGATAACATCCTTTTTGTAAATTTTGTCTATTTTTTTTTTTTCAGTTTTAGGCAGCATGTAGATATTCCCCATTTTACTTTAGTATACCAATACTGTAAACCTGTTCAATGTACTTTAATAAGTATTTATTATAATTCTCTGTCCTTTACATATACAGATATATGTCTTTAATGACTGTGATTGTTTATATATATCTACTTACTTTTGTCTATATATTAATTTCTGTCTAATCATTTGTCTTATATTCGCTAAATTTTTAACTTGAATACAATTTTTTCTAGTCAAATAATTGTAATTTTCTACCTATATGCTTGTGATAGTTAAGAGTATTTGAATTATAGTATGAACTAAGAATCCCAGAAATAACGTAATCGGATCAAAAAGTACTAGATAACCACACACGAATGTACTGTATTTAGAATTCGAAATCAAGCATTCAACAAGTACAAAGGAATCATTAGTTCATTCAAACACCACAATGTCTCTTATCACCAATTATTGAGATTGATTAATATGTACCAAGAGATTGGTTAAATGTATATTGACTGATGATTAAATTGAATTTGATTCCATTAGACACAAACTAAGATATAAAAATGAGTCAATTCTAAAACAATAATTTTTTCGTATACTAATCAAATGGGTCCATGTATGATGTGGATGTATTCTTTATTCTAATTTCTTTTCATTAAGTTTCTGAAATCGGTTCTAAAGTGTATGACAGTCGGTAAATGACCCATCGAAGTTAGGCAACTTCTGAAGGAGATGTAGCAGTTATGTCGTAGCTTATTTGCAATACAGTAGGCACAACCAAATTACTAACTTACATTTTTCTACTTAGATTCACCGGTTATTATCGCTAACTCTTTAAGAATCAATAGGATGTACGGAAACTCATTGAAATATTGCCACTGAGAATACATCGAAATATTTGATAATGATAATCCATCCCCGCAATCACTCTAAACGGACCACCATAATTCGGACTTAATGTGGTTGTACATTATCTATTGTAATGAGTACATACATGCTACTATACAAGTGCTGCGGCACGAATAATCGTCGTTGCTGCCGTCTGAGAAGTGTTATTTGCAAATTTTTCATGTTCTTTGAGCGCTGTATATAGTCGGCCACACCAATCGGAAAACGTTTACCTGGAGTGACGAATACTCTGGGTAAATGTAGCGTACTTCCATTTGCCAATCTTTCTGGAAAGCGTACAATATCTTGTTTAGTTTTTTTTTCAAGCCCAGCAGGACCAGAGGAAGCTTATTATCCTGATTGTTGTACGCAAAGGCAATCATGAGAGAATATCTTAACTGTTTACTTAGGTCTCCAGATACATTATTTGCCATCGGAATGTAGGATATCTTGCGAACCCTTTTCTTTTAATTCCGAGACGTTTTGTAAGCTGATGGAAGAGGCGACTTTCTAGTTGAACTTCTCTATCAATTACAATAACACTGGATCTATCGATGAATATCGACAAGTGTATGTTCTAATCCAGTGTCGGAGTGAGGGACAGAACTCATAGGAAAACCAGTGTGACTATGGACTTTGACTTTATGATGATTCATGCATTTCGTTTAGTGTTCGCCTGGTCTTTCTGAATGCCTGTGTATCTTCTGTTGACAGATAGAATGTTCAGGCATGTCCTCCCAAGGCACCTATCAGTGGTAACAATATTGTCTCACAGTTCAGGATAAATCGTCTTTAATAATTTATTAGCTCCAGAAGTCGTAGCAACTTCTTTCTTGATACGGATAACGGATATTTGCACATAGCATCAACTTCGTTCGGAAGTGGCGTATCACCTTACTGAAAAAATGCGCAACCTCGTATCGATCTAACTAAGCCTAAACGTTAAGCGATCACATCTGACAGATTGATGACTTGGTAAAAACAAAGAGTTGTCAATCTACATGGTTCGAACTGCATAGCATGAAAACAAAAATTACTTCCCCAGCTCCAGCACATTAACAGAATTCAGATACATTGGTGAGGTGTTTGTATGAACTAACGAATTATTTGTGCTTGTTGTATGCTTGATTTCGGACTCCAAAAACAGCACATCCATTTAAGATCATCTAGTACTTCTTGATCTGGAGTGTTAGTTTCTATACACGTGATAGTTCGAGTAAAGGCTTTGGGTTTGCCGTTGCGGACAAGAATCATTGATATTTGTTCTGTTAACATACACTAGCAAGCCTTATGAGCTTAGAAAGCCTTCACTTAAAAGACGTCAGTGATCAATCACTTAAATGAAAACTCAAATTAAATAGCATCTGGTTCCTAAGTCCAATACAAGTAGTTACTCTTCCCAAGTGTTTATTTTTAATTCTTTCAGAATATCCAATAAAGTTTTGCTAATCTTACATATTAGCCGCTGAGCTACTGTTACTGTAGTTACAACGATTTCAGCTTCAGTGTGAACTATGAATTTAGAACCTGAAGTACTATCCCGTTGTTAGAAAATGTGCTCAGGAGGTTGATCAACAACGAGCGTCCCCACTAGGGCCTGATCCCTGCATGTTTCGACATGAGGGAATACGTTAGGAGTTTGCGAGCAGCCAAATTGTCACACACACATATATACTAACGAATAGTTTTCATATCTCTTGGTGTTTTGGAGCTAGTGCGCACAACGTACAGTCTACAAGACGTTGACGTGTTATTTTTAGCTATCATGTAAGAAACCCATATCTCAAACTCTTCCGCCGCAATCGCAGTTGCTATGAGCGGATATTAGTTTCAGTTTCAGTTTAGAAAGGACTGGAGGCTTGATGGCCTGTGTTAGTCCTGGCAATGGTGGTCTCTCATTTGATTCAACTTTCTCTTGAAAGAATCGATGGATTGAGCCTCAACCACGTGCTGATGTGATGAACTCCACTCGTTGATGATTCGATGGGAAAGTCGACAGTCAGATGACAAGTGATTTGTTCTGGGCTTGCGAAAATTTTTGGAGTGTCATCGTAAGTTCTCTGGTTTGGAAGACAAGAAAAATGGGCGCATATAAAGTGTAAATTTAACACAAAGCAATTTGAAAACTGTAATCAAGTCGCCTCTAGTTCTGCGATATGACAATGGGAAAAGGTTTAGCATGGCTAGTCGAGCATCATACGCAAGCTTCGCTATTCCGGGAGTCAGCTTATTTTCTGTTCTCTGAACCTTTTTCAGAATCTCACTGTCTTTTTTCAGCAGGTGCTAGCCGCTTGTATGCAGTACTCAAGTTTAGGACGTGCGAACACTGTGTACAAAGTCAAAACGATTTAACATCGACGTGACTAAAAGCACTACATATTGACCATAATGTTCTAAAACTGCACAATGCTTTGCTGTGTGATAGGAAACAGTCATTTACATACAAGATGAATAGCACTGGCCCCAAAATTGTACCCTTGAGCACTCCGCTAAGCACAGTTTCCCAGATAGATGACTTTGGGTTCACCCGTATTCTTTTTTAGCGCCCAACTAGGAAGTCTTTTAACCACATCAGAAGATTGCCTCCAACTCTGACATTTCTTAGCTTATATAACAGCCGGTTGTGCTAAACTTTGTCAAAAACTTTGCTGAAATCAACGTAGAGTACGTCTAAAGGTAACATTTGCTCTTTAGGAGCGCACCAGCTTTCACGAGTTGCTAATAAGTTAAAGAGAGAAGAATAACTTATTCTGAAACCATGCTGTTTCTCTGAAAGGATCCGGTTTTCATTGAGATACTTAAACAGTTCCTTCCGAATAATCTTTTATAAGATTCTAACAACCACGCTAGTTAGACTAACGGGTCGGTAATTCTCAGGTTTATGTCTCGTACCTCTTTTGAAGACAGGACTTACTAAGACGTTCTTCCAGTCTTTCGGTAAACGACCCTGCGTTACGGGTTCGCAATGAAGTTAGATAATTACTTCAGTAGCCTAGGATGCAATTCATCATCAAGATTATTTAGCAGACCAAAGACATCGAGTCCTTTAATGGTCACGCTATCCAGTGTATGTGTGGGCGTATTTGTATGTGCTGACGAGAAGGGTGCTTCTATGGTATATACGTTGCTAAAGTAGTTCGAGTACACTTGAGTCTTACCAAAGTCGTCCTTCACTAATGACGCAGCACACACTGTCTCCCCATAGTGCAGGAATAGTTCCTCTTTTTGTTGTCCTTTGGTTTATATTGGAATAAAAGCGTTTAGGACATTCTATGGATTCCTTAACAACTTTTTCTTCGCATAACTTTCTAGACTTACGAAGGGTCGGGGAACAGGTAATTCAAACTTTTCGATACTGAGATTTTGTTTCACCAGTCCCCAGTAACCTAAATATATCCCACATTTTTCTTCTCTTACGGAGAAGGATGGGGACCTCCCTACTAAACCATGGTGGAGAGTTTGTCGGTCTCCTTAGTATAGTCTAGGGGATGTGAGGTGTGTTAACTTTTAAGTATAAATCTCGAAATGAGTCCCAAGCCGTTTCAATTGATGACTCTGGGTCGGTT